TTCACGCCCGAGACATAGGTAGTGCATCATCTAGCGAACTGAATACCAGAAATTCTTCCGCTCACCGAGGCTTAAGAGACATAGTAAGTTATTTTGCAAGCCATAGTAGCCTTTTCACGCTCCTGCTTACCGATGCCCGTTCGTTACTTAAGAAAATATCCGACCTTAGAACAATAGTTTTGCTAACCAAACCCACTGCATTATTAGTTACTGAATCATGCTGTACTGACTCAATCCTAGACGTGGACCTGTGTATAGATGGTTATACTCTGTATCGCACTAATCGTGACCACAAGCGTGGTGGAGGCTGTTTGATCTATGTATGTAGCCTTGCTACCTCAAATAAGATTGAAGATGATATCTTCAATGATCTGCCGGACTCACTTTGGATCGTTATAAACGGTACCAACTACAAAATCCTCATAGGCTGTGTGTATAGAGTGCCATGTTCAACAAAAGAAAGTGATGAACTGATGGCTAGATCATTTGCCCACGCTGGATCCCTCACTGTTGACTTCAAACTGATTGCAGATGACTTTAACTTACCTGAAGTTAACTGGAGGGTCGGTCGCGGCTCACAAAGATTTGATGAAACGCTTGCTGTCACAGATATCTATGGCTGAGAGCAATACATTCAGCAGCTCACGCGTGGAGATAGTATACTGGACCTAGTCTTTTGCCATGACATCATCCCTGTCACTGCCCACGTTAGTAGCGAATTTTCTAACGGTGACCGTAGGATGGTGTTTTTTTGCTTGCCAATTCTTCCTCCCAATGAGAGAAACAAGCAATCTTCAAATTATACTCCGCATAGAAGCTATAAGAATGTGGAGTGGGAAGTATTCATCGAGCTACTCAGGTGCTCTCCATGGGATGACTACTTTACCACAGCCTCATTAACACACACACACACACACTTTTCTACAGAAATATAGAGTTGTGTCTAGATACTGTTGCTCCTGTGAAAACAGTTAGGGTTTATAAGGAGCCAGACCCATATATTCCTAAAATATTCCGCAATAAACTTAGGAAATTATCATCACAATACCACTCGTCGAAAGACTTCATGTCACTGCACTTAATTCATGAGACTTACGAATCTATCAAGACACTGCGTACGAAACAAGCAGTAAACGAAGAGATCGTCGCTCTTAAAAGTGGCTCTAGAATACACAAGTTGACATCTCTTCTGAGTAAACGTCTGAAGCCATCAACGGATGTAGCCTATCTACTACATAATGGGGTGGTACACAACGATCTCCTCAAGATTAGTGAACTGTTTAGCGAATCATTCTCTAATTTCAACCCTAATGCCCTCAACCCCACTAGCTTTACTCCAATTTCTACTAGTTCATGTACTAGAGTGGAGTTCACTGTCAAAAGTATCATTGAGGCTATCGAAAGCCTGAAACTATCGACAGGTACGGGGATAGATGGCCTAAACTCAATAGTCATCAGAAACAGTGGTGATGATATGCCACTGTTCTTGCTTAAGATATTCACACCATCAATGGAAAGTGGGGAGTATCCCAGCGAGTGGAAAACTAGCTTTATAATTCCTCGCTACAAGTCCGGTGACAAAGCGAATGTTGGGAACTACAGACCTATCAACATAACGCCAGTCGTTTCCCGAATTATGGAAAAAGTGATTAAGAGCAGCATGTCTGACTACTTACTTAGCGAAAACCTCAAAAAAAAAAATCAGCACGGTTTCATTAAAAACAGGTCTTGCGTTACTTGCCATTTCGACTTCTTCAACCTTATCACTAGTAGCCGCGAGGCACGTAAAATCGTCATTGTTCTATACTTTGATATATCAGAGGCATTTGACAAGGTGCCATACAGTATTTTCTTTGATAAGCTACAATCGATTGGCATCCATGACCCTTTACTTCATTGGCTAAAATCATTTCTTAGTGATCGAAACCAAATCATCAAAGTAAATTCTATGCAGTCTACACCTAGGCTCATAACTAGTTGAGTAATACAGGGTAGTGTCCTTGGACCTTTGTTGTTCATAACTTATACTAATAGTGTGTGCAAGTGCTTCACTGTAGGGGAAACATTCCTACACACTGATAACCTTAAGGTTGTATACTCATGTCATACCCATGAACTAGGTAATACGCTATCTACTGCTCGACAAGAATTAGGTGAAGTTGCTAAATGGTGTGACGAGTCCCATCTCCAGTTCAACATTGATAAATGTGGTTGGCTTAGCATAGGCAGCGATAACATAGATGTGTCTCTCGAAGTATGTGGGCAAAAGCTACCTAGACGTTCTTCAGTGCTAGATCTTGGTCTTAGATATTCCAGTGACTTAACATTCTCTGAGCAGACGGCTTGTATCACATCTAAGTCACGTAGACTCCTTGGATGCATCGTCCGTAACTTTTATAGCACTGAATCAAGGGTCCTACTCTACAAAGTGAGCATCCGTCCAATTTTAGAGTACTGCCCGTTTATCTTAAGTGGCCTTCGTATAAGCGACAAAAGAAAAATTGAAGGAGTACAACGCCACTTTACACTAAGAACACTAGGAGCTGACTGCAGCCTAGACTACATCTCGAGATGCAACATGCTAGGACTGGAACCTCTCTGAAAGAGGTGACTTAGAATGAATCTTATATTTTACTATAAATTACTTCGTAAGCAAGTGCACTCATGTGGCCCGGAAATTAAAATAGTTGTAACATCTACTCACTATTTACGTAATCACAACCTATTAGCGGAAAATGAGTTTTGTAAGACCAAATTGCGAAGAAACTTCATCAATAAGTTCTCTCACATCTGGAATAAACTTCCTGAGGAAATACGTACCGCAGGCTCATTATCTACCTTTCGTTCTGCACTTAATAAGCTCCTAACAGATGATGAATCCATCACTCGCCTAGGCACTATATATACGTTCTGGGCTAATGAAAGCATACTAGGACCTCTAAACGTATAGAGTAAAGCTATCATAAATCTCAAGTACTTTTTACCTCAATGGACTCATAAAGGGTGTTTGATTACTAGTCCATCTGGTCGGATTGTGCAGTACAAATATATAGCCAGTGTTCCCTTTAAGTTTACCAACAAAATCTGCCTATCTAATAACTCGCGTGAACTTCATGTAAGAAAAAAAGGAAGATTCATTCTCATATGAATAAATTAAAGTTTACATATAGTTTGAATGACTTTAAAAAGACAAGAACTTCTCTCCTGACAGTTTGTTTTACGTGGTATTCCATTGTCCAGTTTCTCCTTGTGCTTTCTTTTCTCTTCTCTTTTCAGTATCAGCCTGACGAGAAAGTCCTAAGCATTAGTTCGATCAAAAAGTATCAACTTACTGGAAATCCTACTTCGCACCTAATACTGGAAACTGATGTTAGAGGTATCCAACTGGCTGGCCCCGATTTTCCTGTTTCTTGAACAGCTTAACAACCAACTCACCTCCCTACCAGTACCCTAAATGCTACCACATACGAAACCCCAAGCACAATAACTGGTCTCCGATTTCTGGTCCGTGACAAATGCAGCGGAAATCTGGATAAACAATCCAACCGAGAGATCACTTTACCTAACGGCAACACATCCATAATAATGCTATGCAACAGATTTCTCTAGTACTTTGTCTTGTATCAATCCACCTAATAGAAGTCAATTAACAGCCAATGTATCTCCTTGACAATGTTGCATACTTTAATGTGAAGTCTATGAAGTTTTACACATGTGTAATATTCACCACTGTTGAACGACGATGCTTCCAGTCTTTAATTACTTGCACCACAACAAATGTTTTCAGTACTACCAATCTGAATTGCTGGAAAAGGTAACACTTGAAGAGTGAGAAACGCCTGAACTTAGACATTCACCTGGATTAAATGATTGTATGGATACTTACTTATTCCTGAAATCATTGAAGTAAGTTATTATTGGTCAGTAAATCTACGAACATAAGAATTACTATCAAAATAGACGTTTATCTGACGAAACACTTGGTCTTGTAGATGGGTCAATCATGTTGACTACTCACAACGCAAACGTCACATACTGCGCCGTTCGATGTGAAGAAATAATTGTGAGCAGAAATGACTTAAACTCAAAACGATGTGTATGTACTGTAAAGTGATATTTTCCTGCTATTTTCACAGCATTTAGACACTTAGTATCATGATATAGTCTAATGTCCTCCCTCTGTATCATTCAATACTGCTAAAATCTTTTATGTTTCTCTGCAGTTGTTAATTTGATGAGGCCTATAAACTGGCTTCTCTCATGTTAACTTCATAACCTGAAAATAAAGATATTTATTATTTATTTAACTAGCCTGTTCCGGTCGTAATTTTGAATCCAGAGCATTTTTTAGTCTCTCCGGGATGATGCGGCTCAATACTTTGCTTGGTGTGGACAGCAGGATAATTTCGCGCCAGTCCTTGCAGACTCCGGTCTCCTTCTTTGGGAGTCTGACAAGGTAGCCCTTCTTCCAATCAATGGTCAGGTACCTTCCTGGCAAACCTTCTGCAGAAGTCTTTGTCAGCCTCAAACACTGTGCGAACATTCCATGCTCCCTTGCTTACCTTTGCTTTCATCAAGAGGAGAGAAGATACACGGGCCGACTGCCTTACTGAAGGCTTCCACCAACCGGCGTCATTTCCTTTCCTTGATTCCAGGAAGGAATAAGTTTATTTATATTTTTTTGTGCTTTGAAGTTTCTTAAGCGATTAGTTTGCTTTCCCGGGATAGGGTTGCTAGCCCTATGCCCAACCTTTCCTGTTTAGGACCGGCTAGTAAACTAGGGACAGAAAATGCCATATTTATTTATTATGTAAATACATTGTTAGTAATCTTTTCAAACAATTTGTAATGCGGAAATATGAGGCTGAGCATACATACAGACAGACAGGAAATAAAAGAATCAAAGCAGATATGATGAGATTATAGCTACATCCAAGTATTTACAATAAGTAAATATCACAGTCTCTTTTGCTTAAAAACCAATAATAATTGGAACTATCTCATGATTTAGAGACTAGAAGAGATTTCGAATTGCTAAGTGACGCAGTTCCTCCTGGTTGGTTCAAATGAAAGTCATTTACTCCTAAATAGCCAACTGACTGGTCATCAGTAAAATTGTTATTATTAGGATTATCGTTTCTTTGATCTATATCATCATGTATATAATCATTTCCATCACTGAATACTGGCAATACCCCGACCATAATCGTCTCCATTCCTTTAAACCATCAACAGCAATAACAACTATAAATGTTACAAGTAAAGTGCATGGGCAAAGATACAACAGTGCTGGTTGACTACCATTAGTAACGTTCAACACAGTGATAGCGATTACGAAACCAAGTGAATAACCTAAGGAAACAGGTAAATGAGAAAAAAGATTAACAATAAAAAAGACATTATTCAATATAAATCATTAAAGTAAAACTGCCCTGATATATATAATTACATTTCTCCCCGATGAGCAGTGACATTCAATGCTTGTCATTGGTGAAACGGTCCCCTAAAAGATAGCTTTTACTATGACTTGAATTCAGCTATGACTACTTTCTGCGAAAAAATCCTACGATACTGCTGACCACCAGACTCTGGCTGACTGAGATTAACGATAGTTTGCTTACTATGAAGCTTATTTGTCCAATTAAATTTCTACAAGTCAGCCTAACAATGAAGAAACAAATGCTGTGCATAGTTTGGTCAGAAGTGGGTTTTAAACCGACAGCAAATCCTGATAAATACTTTACAGATTTATTACAAGCTTCAAATTTGAAGAAATCATTAGATGATGAATAGTCTCGTAATTAACTTTATGAAAGTACTAACAAAGTAAGAGATTGCACTGTCACACGATTATTACAAGATATTATATCTTGAGAAACAAACACTATCAAATTGATCCCAAGGTAGTTCGCTTGTTAGAACAAAAAAGAGAATCTTTTCAATACAGATTTAAGTTTGAGGGATATTTTCGGGGCGTTGATTATTCAGATCCCAGCAAACTCTTTGTAAGTTAGATACAGGCAAACGAAAGTTTGTAATCATCCAGTACTCACAGATGTTAAATGCTGGGACGTCATGTTGTCTAGTTCAGCAGTCACGAATCATTTTTAATCAACACTGATCTGTTGTGTCAGATTTACCGCAATCTAGTGACACCAACGTACACTTAATAGCTGTATTACATTCAACTTTATTAGGTAAACAGCGGAACAACATGTATTGCATGGTTGTTCAGAAGCTCAACACTTTTGAACACAAGGTTGTAGGTTCGAATATCCTATCACTTACCAATTTTCCACCGGTCAAAGGGTATTTTTGACCTCCACATAGTGAATAAACTTACATCCCAGTATGTGAAACTGTACATGCTAATATAAAACTAATGAAATTTAGTGCAAGTCGTAAGCTTGCCAATATTAAGTCACTAACAGTTGGTGTAAAACGAATCGCAGTTGTTCGATTCACATTTTCTTCTATGAAAACATGTGACATCCAAAAAGTTATAACAGTAAGTTTCCCTGTCAACTGAAAACGCTTAAGTTTACGAAGTCAGTAAGAAAGAGTGCATATCAATACTTCAAAGCCATTATGATGCCTTCATAAGTTTGTCAATGACGATAGACATACTATCGAGCATATTGGCAGAAAGAACACAACTCGATCACAATAAAGCTGTCTAAAGTGCCTTCTGAAATAGTCACCATACTGCCATGGTAACAGCTGTTAGTATTACTTTCCCTTCATAAAATACTCTTAAAAAGACTAAATTCGTTTTCAATCACATACCAGTATGAATGAATAAGCTTCAAATATTGTGTCAAATATCATTATTCAACTTATATGCTCAAGTTATTCATTTGCGCAGGACATCTGAAGATAATCAATAGGAATTCAGAAGCGACTACAGATAACCGGGATAAATCATACACAACTGAAATCCTTCTCATTTGTATACAAGAAAATGGAAGCATAAACATAGTAGAAATGATTCGAAAATGACTATTTGTTTCTCACTTGCATACAAGTGCATTAGTTCAAATTCCCATAATTAAAAACAGAACGTTAAAGGGAAGTGAATAACCAAAGAATCAGATTAGATCCGAAAAAAGTATATGAGAGAAAAGAAAAAGACCAGAATATTCAAAATTTTGAAGATGAAAAGGAGTGAATGTATCTGTAACGAGTGACTTTATCAACTGTTGAGATAACCAATTACATTGCCTTCTTCTATAAAAAACTAACCTGCTCAGTAGATATTTTGAAATTTGATTGGTTAACTAAGCAGTTGCTAGGGTGGCATTTAGGGTCACACACTGTAAAATTGTGATCGGTTTTGTGCTCTATAAACTAGAGTTTTCAACCATCGATTCCTATAAGTCAAGAAACCTAGTCAAACACCTAAGATCTAACTATACAACTACGATCAACAGTCAAAAATTGTAAGGGTTAGCACCGAATTTAGGTCTGGCCACCTTTAGCTTTCTTCCAAACTAGTGCTACTTCCCTTCGTATCGCGCATTGAAGCATTTGGAAGGTAAGCATGAACAACGCATGATCATGTCATATTAGTTGCTGTAGGTTTGCACCTTAATCGACTGATAGTCTTCCTCATACAGTTTTGTATGCCTACTTGAACATTATTCACATGGTGGTCTCAACCACAATCGAGCAATGCTACAAAGATACTCATGGTTAAAAAATCTGTGGTCTTCCAACATTCTCTACTTTAAACAATGAAGTCTCATAACTGTACAATAGAAAAAAGTGAACTATTGATTAGCATACTCATCGTTGGATAGGAATATAGCTGCAACATCAGAGATGGACTAAATTGGCAAACTCCAAAAACGCCTTTTTTTGTCAGTATTGAAATGCCATCAACAACTAACCCATTAAAGCTTATGTAACTTCCTGGATAATTAAAATGGTCAAAGCATTCAACCAATTTACTACTGATGCTTAAAATAAGCGCTACTGTAGACCAGTTTTGAAGCGTCTTCGTATGTTGGACCTCAAATGTAAGTCAGATACAAATGCACAGACATTTATGAGTTAAAATCCTGTAACTGTTATGCTGTACATATAGGTTAATGAATTGCTGATAAGTAAAGTAACCTTCTGAGCCTCAGCGCTTATGTTTTATCGATCAAATGGGATGAATTATGTGATCCACGAAGTATGACTTACTGTACATGAAGTTGGTTATTTAGGGAGATACAAATAAAACTATATCATTGGGTGTTACATCAGATTGACTAGTCCAATATGGAATTACATTCTACCACAACACCCAAATTCTATGCTTACATTAAAGATGCAAATAATATGTTTATATAGTCAACAGAAGCCTTAAAATGCTTAAAAGAATAAACAACACTAGTAAGTGTAAACACTAATTTGAAAACCTTTGAAGGAAGCCTATGAACGTCAATAAACGACCCTAACTGTTAATTTTATGAAGCTTTTTCAAAGCATTCCACAAGCCGAAAATCATTAGCAAATACACAGAGAAAAGTTATCTAAATGATTTCCTCATTGTATTATCTATACACTTAGTTCAAAACTCAACATCTAGAATGCAAAGATAGAAATGGTAAGGCAAAAGACGTAAAGTTGCATCAACGGATTAGTCGCCACCAATGCTCAATATGTAGTGCCCAACTATTCTCCTTAGTTTACTTATTGAAAACAAGGAACTCGTATAAAATTACCTGTACAACAGTATTTGATGCATGAAGCTACTTCAAGACAACTGATAAGAAGTATTGAACTCATATTTTTTACTACTAAGATCGGTAGTGTATTCAATTCTTGATTACCGGTTGATGAAAAATCAGTGTCAAAAGGAAGATGTTCAAGATGTATCGTCATCAAAATAATAATTATGGTGAGAAAGTCAAACACTTTCGGTTAACCTCCAGGATACACGGTAGGATATGTGGATCAATTGTAGTCTGTGGTCCACTTAACACATTTTCTTAATACAACTTAAATTATAATATTTGAAATGCTAAAGGTGCACAAGTGAGAAAAACGCCGGGAAGTGATACACATTCCAACAGGTAATGGACAAAAAGTTGCTATGAGTATGTTCTAATGTTAACCTATTCAACCGAATGCAAAAGAATATACTTTTAATAAACCAAGACTAACCTGTAAGTCCTCCAATAAAGTGCTTATAGTATGGAATTTTCCAACAAGCATCATAAAACACCAAAAACACAAGAAATAATCCTAGAAAAAGAGAAGAAATAGAGTAGGTGATTTGTTAGCAATGATAAAATGTGCAACCAACTATCTCAACGAGGCTAGGAAACTAAAAATGTAATCTTTTATCAAGTGTACATTCTTTCACAAATTCAGGATGTAATACTAAGAAGTCTTTCAAAAATGCATAATCCAATAAAACTGTAAAAATCTTAAACTACTCTTTCAAAAATGAACAATATGCTTAACTGCCTGTTCAGTAGATGAACATATAGAAAGCGATTGTAATCATAGTAGATAAGACGTAAAACAGCAACCATTTACAACTTATGATACTATTTTACAAGTTATGCCTATTGTATTATGACCAGTGATAATATTTGACTACTGGAACCTAAGAAGTTGAAGAAAAATTCATACCTGTAACCAACTAATCGAGAATCTAAATTAACAATCCAGCTATAAATGAACTTCTGCATCGTGTAAGTAATTTTGAGGTCAGACAAAGGATGCTAACCAAGAAAGGCAAGTCAATGGATAAGGCTATGAACCTTAGTTGATTGAGATGGCTTGGACATGTACTGCACATGACGAGACACAACCTATCTCAATGTGGAGAGATGTAGACTGCCTCGAGACGAAAGGAATTACTGGTTAAGCACTCTTGGTGACAGCTGAAAATTGATGACAATGGTGGGAGTGTATTCACTCCTTGACATCATCTAAAGCTTAAATATCCACACTAACCTTCGTCTTCAGACTGTTTATTCTACATCACTTTGTCTACTTTGATACCAGTCTTTTACTATCCTCCTGTTCTTTATGTATTACTGTCAAGTGTGGCAACTTAAGCCGATGCACCTTGGTACGAGGTTTTATGTGTTGTCAATAAGTCGGTCACAAAATAATCAATCTTTATCGAGACTCCATAGTCCATTTTATACAGTAAATACATGAAATATTTTTCTGTCACTTATTTCGAAGCAAAAATGATTAAGCAGTTCAGCAGTTACTTATCTGCAGGGATAAGAATGCTGGAATGGAGGCACGCTTCTACAAACTGTCGATTATAACCATGATAAAATACGGATAAAATTTTAATCACGATATACAGAGGCTTGGTGATGCGAAGGAAAATACTTTATCCTAAAGGAAATATTTTGAGAAGGATAAAACATACATACACACATATTGAGAGTAGGACAGATATACTAAACAAAGTATGAGGATATTATTATTATTTGTCCCTTGGGTTCCTAGTGGAACATAGGGCTTCAGTAGCTCGCCTCCATTCCACTCTGTTCTCTGAAATCTTTTGAACCTGTCTCTACCGCTGCCCACAAGCTTTCATTCCTTCCTCACGCCACCTCCTCCATGTCACCCTCACCTCGGACGCCCAACTCGCCGTTTCCCATCTGGGTTCCACTTGAGGGCCTGACGCGTGATGTCCCCAGTCGGCCTTCTCCACTTCCTTCGAGATATTTGTTGAGTAATAGCTTCTTGGTTTGTTCGTTCCCAGAGTTCCTTGTTGCTTATTCTTTCTGACAATCCATATGACCTTCAGTAACGAGCCAGCGTAGGCAGTTGTTGATGAATGTCTGTAGTTTGTTGGAAATCCCTTTCCTAACGCGCCAAGTTTCTGAACCATATAGGAGCACTGACTTGACGTTGGTGTTGAAAATCCGGATCTTGTTCACGCTCTATGCTGAGTACAGATCTCCACACTGGTTTCAGGTGAATAAACACCTGTCTTGCTTTTCCGATCCTGGCTACTTTGATGTCCTCGTTTGTGACACCGCCTGTAGTTGAAACAGTGCTGCCTAGATAGGTGAAAGAAACTACTTCCTTTAAGTTTCTCCCGTTCATGGTGACTGGAGCTTGTTGTTGTTGTAGGTGGTGTTGGTTGGATATCTTCATCTTATCTGTCTTCTCTACGTTCACTTGAAGTCCCGTCTACGCTGCCTCACCTCTTCTATCAACTTGTTAGTTTCCGCCTGTAGATCTTCAAGTTTGTGTGACATTAGACACAAGTCATCGGTGAAATCCAAATCTTCTAGGATGTTTTCCCCGGTCCAGCCGGCGTATCCCCCTCTTCTCGCTCCTCACTGTATGTTGCATGATCCAGTCCACTACAATCACGAAGACCATGGGTGATAGTTATCGACAACTAATCTACAATAAAGAATTATTTTGCATCATGAATATGGGGATCAGAGGGATGATTTCAAGACTTAGTTCACAGTGAATATAAATGTCTGGATGAATAAAAATTCGGTTGATGAGTCTAAAAACAAGCGAGACATGCATCCAAGATGATATCACAGAATAGATATTATGTCGTTGAAATAAACTTATTGAAAAAAATAGTTTATTAGTCATTCTAATTGTTGTTGGCTTCAATCACATTATTTAACGAACTCTGAATCACATGAGGAATACAAAAAACGACTAGTTTTGTGAGTAGTCATGGCTTAATACACCAATATTCCTATTCTATTTATAATATTTGCGTTATCCATTAAGTATTTTTGGTGTTTCGGTTGAATAGCGTGATTCTGTAATCACGTGCAGTACTTATTTGTTTTGCAATAACAGTAACACTGATCCCCTTATACTGATCTCATTGTTGTCGGGTGTGCTTTTAACAGCAAAAAAGTAGGCAAAAACTTCTTTGAATTACCGGGAATAACAGCATCTCCAAATCCTAAAAGAGAACTGTGAGGTATAACTTCAATATTGTACTTATTTATCTCGACGTATTCGTTGATAAGTAAACGAAATGACAGTGGTAGCATCTCACCACTTTTACCAGCTGATCCAGTAGCTACAGCTTCCATATAACTGTCACTGTTTGACCGCCGTGTTCTTGTATGTTCAACAATTTGAACTGAGTTAATATCAATTGATGAACGTGCCTGAAAGATTAGAGACCAAATAACAAAGAATAATTCAACATTTGATCATTATACGGAAGGATTTACGAGTAAAAGTAGTATTCAACTCGACAGGCATGTGTCATTCCAAATACTACAATAAAACAGGAAGATACTTATGTGACGGTTAAAGATACTAGCAGGGCACATAAAATTCAATAGATGGTGTGAGATGAAAAAAACGATGACGAAACGGTTACCTGAGTTTATCCACTCATAGATCTTCAATTCTGAAAGAAAGCAATCTTAAAACGTTATGTATTTTTAAAAAGCTGGTTTTTGCATCATAAAGACTTATTAATACGAAGTTAAGTTGAGAACTACAGTACAAATTTTCCCTGAAAAGCGTACTTGTCTCAGTGTCAATTAATTGTCAGAAAAAAGCGTACTCTTGAGTTGTGAATGTTTTCTAGAATTCACTTTCAAATATGCAGCAGAAAGTGGTTAAACACTAGACACAAAAACAATTTTCATATTGCTGCACAGTTAGCTGTTGTTCACTGGTCTAGGCACTTGGTTTCCAATCACTGGGTCGTGGCTTATAACCCAGGTCCACCTATCGAGGTTTGGGCAGCCAGGTAGTATTACTTACCTTCCCACAACAAGTTTGGCTCTTCGTATACTGGACGAGTGAGAACATAGTTACTGAGTGCATTTTGATTTTTCGTACTGATTTTTGTTACCTTGAGGTGGCGAGTGCCCTTGTATATCACAATTATCCAACAAGTTATGCTGGTGGAAGGCTTGTTCACCCGAGGTCCTACCATTCTAGAAAGTTCAGTAGGGTTGTGGCAAGACAAGAAGCAATTACCATTACAGTGTAAGTTGCTAGGATATTTTAGGGGTTTTGATGGTTGAACAGGGTGTGACTGCAGCAAGGCGTTTCTTGTGGATGACCAACAGCGACACGTCAATGCTGCTTTTCCTATAGAAAAGAGGGTTTGCAAAGATTGTCCCCACACGTAGCACACTTCCTCTTACTCTGGGACATATTGATGGCGGCAGTATGGGTTCCAGGTCTTTAGCTCTTGATAACAATCCCGGTTCGCTGGACAGAACCCAAAACAAATATTCGGTCATTAAATATCTGCACTCCGCAAGATCGGTCAATAACCTTCGCTGTCCAGAACTCTAGTACCTCGGAACCTAGATGTGTGCCACGTTTGTGAGACACAGATAACGGATCCCAGTGCGTTTATTTACTAAATACCATGCCACCAAAATGGCAAATCTACAAAATCCAACCTTCAGATTCCCATAGATTCGATGGCTAGTTATTGTGGTCTTGAAACAAAATGTACTGATCACCTTGATGGCAGCTGACAATCGCTGGTGCACTGTTCAAATGAACGGCATAGTGAGAACTAAAAAGAATAGTGAAACTCCCCGGTGTTTATTTGTAATCTCTACTTGCAGACCAACTAAATGCAGCTTGCTTGCAGTGGAGGATGAGTTCTGTCAAAAACTACATGGTATTATATTGAAAGCCAACCCTTAGAAGTGAGTGTTTTAACAAGTTATTTTAATATACAAGTGGGTACGCTGAGTCAGACAGAAAGGCACTTAAGTAGTGATTTAAGAATCCCAGTTGAAGGAAAAGATAATAGCGATCGACTGCTAAAACTGTGCTCCAACAACCAACTTTTTCTGGAAAGTGCAAACTTCAGACATAAATGGGGACACTGTCAAACATGGCTTTAACCGACCTCAGTTATTCAGCATCTAGCCTGAACCTGAATGGCACATAGATGTTAGTCCTTAAAATTGAGAAAGCTGTATCGAACCTGAAACGATGGAATACAGAAGGACTGGACAGTTCGCCACCTGAAGTTTTCACGGATGGAGGTAGGAAATCGCTAATTGAAGTGACGAAGTACTGGGTGGTGTACAGGAATCAGAGGTAGTGCCGTCAGACCGGTCTACTTCACTGACCATCCCAGTCTATAATAGAGAAAAATCGTGTGAAAACCTTAAGGGAATTAGTTTGATTAATATTGTGTCCAAGATCCTAGCTTCCTTGATAATGCGACGCCTAAAAGGAGCTCGAAAACGACTAACTCGGGAAAAAAAAGGCAGGCTTTAAAACTGGACGAGATGCATCAATCAGATTTCTACTCTTCGATAGGTCCTGGAACACAGGCTCTCTTCTCGAACTCATGCAGCTGTGTAAAGTTATATAGAGAGTTGACAGCAGAACTAATGACATCTAGTGGTGTCCATTGTCATCGTTCCCCCACTTAACTTCTTCATACACGTACTGATGGACATAGCAAGAGGTAAGTCTGGCTTCTCATGGATTGACCTACTCCATGGAAGTCATCTAGTTGACTTAGAAGATCCAGACGATACTGTGCTGCTGGGTGAAGACTCTGACACAATGAAGGGTCTTCTCAATGCCTTGAGCAGAAATCTGAGTGTTTAGCACGCATTTCACACCTGTCAAACGCGAGGTAATGTTCCAGGACTGGTTTGCAACCAACCCCACTTCTTATAGTAAACATGGGTAGTGCCTAGCAGTGGAATCTAGGATGCCCATTTCGTTCTATTTGGGACTCGTCAGCTGAATGTACCTGCCTCCCAGTGAGTGATGTTGTTCCCACCGGGATGCGAACTCAGGAGTGATCGCTTCAAACGCCAGCGCGTTATCCACCACACCACCGAGCCACGATAGCCACTTCTTGTGCGACGGGCATAGTTTTAGTATAATTGTTTTTTATATGATACCGTCGTTGATTGGACCGAATTGATCGGTCTCTCTTGGCATATGAGCTCCTGTGCGAATGCCTTGGTATTACCTGTGTTCTGTCCATCTTTACTATAATTAGAAAACAGGTCATACCAAGGCATTCGCACAGGAGTCCATATGCCAATAGAGGCCGATCAATTCGGTCCAAATAACGACGGTATAATACAAGCAATAATACCAATCCCACTTCAATGATAGGGAATGCAGTGGTGGAATGTATCAACTACTTCACTCACTTCGAGAGTTGGCATCACCCCAAAAAGGTTGGCTGCTGACCAAACATCAGCTCGAATACAGAATGCTCGTTTGGTATTCGCTAACTTGTGTCATCTCTAGCACCGGCTGACGAGATATCCAACATTCTGTTAAAGGACGAGTATACTGCGCTGCTATCTCTTCTCTCCTGTTGTATGACTGTAAGATGTGGTGGTTACAGGGTGTTGATCATAGGTATCTACGTAGCATTGGTCGCGTGTGGTGGAATCACTATGCGAGTAATGTTGAAGTCAGGCAAATGGTACTAGGCAAGAAATGCAAATTGATTTTCTGGGTTTTGAACTTTACCTAGTTGAGATAGTTTGGATATGTACCGTGCATAAAAAGACGTGGCACCAGCCAATGAAATCTCAAACTGCCAGTTTGAGCCGTGTGGGAGATGTAGGCTATTTGGCTGGGGTCACCAAGACGAAAGGAATCAGTGGTTGAGGACACTTGGTGACATGGTTGAAAGTCGGTCACAACGGCGCAGGTGTATTGACTCCTTGACGTCTTTCTAAAGCTTGAAAATTCACACTAATCTTCATCTTTAGATTGTTTACGCTCTCATACCTACTTCGATACCAGTTTTTCTATCCACCTATTCTTTGTGTACTACTGTGAAGTGCGACAACTTGAGCCGATGCACCAGTGCGTGAGGTCGTACGGTGATTTTGTCAGTCACTTAGACAGATGTAGTTTTATGTTATGTATCATGTAGGTATCATGAAATATTCCAAGACAGCTGCTTAAGTTTCTTCTCCTTTTTTCATCTGCACTAAAGTGTGATAGAGTATCTTAAAGTGTATATTTACATAAGAAAAACATGCGATAGTCACAAAATAAACTGAACTTACAGTGAATAATGGTGTAATAAACACGAAGAACACGTCGTATATCAAAAATGCTAAGAATAAGAGCGTCCCCGTCTAAGAAGAATACAAAAAATAACGTTGATTTTTAAGGATATAAAATAATAAGATACACATAAAAGGTTTTTGGTGCTCCATTTTATTATCAAGGCAAAATGAATGTTGTAAATGCCTGGTCGGCCAATAAAACTGTTTAAAGGGTGTGACCGAGTGATAGTTGTTCAAAATCAGCTCTTCAGGAAATAGTCTTCAAGTAGACGGTTATCAGATAGAATATGTGACCAACAAATCTACTTTTTTTACTGTATGAGACATTCGCTTATCTGTAAACTAACACACAGATCCCAAAGAACCGATCAGGACAACGCGCTTTGCTAAAATCTGTGGTAGAATTTCTAGGATGTGATCGATATCTGATGAATGTGAAACATAACAACACTGACTGACTACCAGAATAAGTGGAGTGTTATTCTAACCTGTGAATTAACGATAGGGAACCACCCGACTATTTCAGCAGGATACCGAGACTCATTGGTTTAGGGAGATGATTTTCAACCAATAGGTCGAAGGTTCGAAATTAGCTTCACCAATGAAGGTTTAGACGGTGAGGTAGTATTATTAGCCCCCACAATATAGGTGTGGTTCATTGCCTCATTATCAAACAGAATATCGTCAAATATATTTCATAAAACCAAAAAAGTACATAGACGAGGTGCACCCTAAACAGCATGAAATCATAACTTATGCTTAATAACGATGTTGCAAATAGTTCTTTTTGTTATCCTCAAACTAACAATTTTGCAGGTAAACTTTAGTTCGAAACAATTGGTCCCTTTAATAAATTTCGATAACGCTATTAGAAGACGAAGATTATCTGAAAAATGTGATGTATTTGCGCAATACATTTCGAACAATCTGATCACACATTTACTTGTCAAGTCAATTTATATATGAAAATTAAAGGTCAAATATAGTGAATATGAAAAGGTTGTGACACTAGTCTTGGTAACATAATCAGATAAGGGTTACCAAGGTAAATTTAGTGAAACAACAAACTGTTTTTGTACGCACAGCGGGGGATTAAGTTTGCCGAAGCGTTAGCCATTCGTAAACTTAATCCCCCGCTGTGCGTACAAAAACAGTTTGTTGTTTCACTTAATTTACCTTGGTAACCCTTATCTGATTATGTTACCAAGACTAGTGTCACAACCTTTTCATATTCACTATATTTGACCTTTAATTTTCATATATAAATTGACTTGACAAGTAAATGTGTGATCAGATTGTTCGAAATGTATTGCGCAAATACATCACATTTTTCAGATAATCTTCGTCTTCTAATAGCGTTATCGAAACTTTAGTTCAACTGGTACCTTTATATATTAAATAATTAACCAAATGACAGTTTCAAGTGGGTAGTATGCAGAACTTAGTCAGTACAAACCTAGGCCAACAATCAGGAAACTGATTGCCAACCAAAAGTTTCAAAAGTTAATGCTTATCAATAATTAGAACCGAATTCATTTAAGGACAGCTGTCGAGGGCTAATAGTTAGCCAAAATATGGCAGTCATGTAAGATACCCTACAAATTGTCTTAATCACTGATCATTCTAGTGTTCAAGAAAGGTGACAACCTGCATTAACAATTGGGAAATACGTCTCACTAAAGTAATCTCTCTCATTTTGCGTTCGATAATTGTTATGTGTCAAAGTGGAACCCATGATCAACAGACAAGTTTCATACATAGTCACGCTCGTATTAACTAAACATTCACCTTCCACCATGTTCTGAAATAAATCCACGCTTACCAGTATCCGACACTAGTTATATTTCCTAACATCAAGACAGCATTCCACTAAACCGATCAGGAGGCCTTAATAGCAATGTCTCATTTATGGGAATAACAGGAAAGTACATCACTCTCATGAATGCTTCAAACACTAACGGGTGTGTCACAGCCTTGGCTGAGTTATCAGGTGAGTTGTGTACGTCGAGTGGTGTCGATCAAAAATGTCTATTTCCTTCATACTTATTCATCTTCCTTGTAGATGAGTTTGTAGAGGTCTACAACTAGTCCAACTTTACAGAAACTCACCTTACCACAAGAGACTCTTTGGAAAACCAAGAGTACCCGCTTGAAATAGTCCTGTTAGGGGGAGACGCTGACAAGATGTAGCGTTTACGGTGAACCTTGAGTGGCAAAATGAGGATGTTTGCGACACGTTCCTTATCATCCAAATGCAAATTGGTACTCGAGGACTCCTGTGGGTTGGTGCCTAGTCTAACAATAGGGATAACAGTGGCTGAATACTCAAACAATTCACTTGTCTGGAAAGTCGGACTACAACTGGTGGGCCAGTGCCCGATAAAATTTATGCACAGGTACAAAAGGCTCGCCCCGTCTTCACCACGTTACACCACTTATAGCGCGCAATGATTTACAGTTACTCAAAAGAGTCGAGTGTACTGCGATGCAGTTCATTCTGTTCTATCATACGGCTGTGAGACAACTACCAAACATGGTGAATATAAAAAGACTTCAGGTGTTCCACCATCACCGATCTCATACCCTAGGCCATGTGTGATGATCTCACCACCTCAGAAACGCATAAGTCAGGTGTAGAGTCACAGTCTGCTCCGTCGCACATTGTTTGCTGAGGTAGGTTCAAGTTGGACAACGATTACAAGTGGTCAGACTATAACATGACATCAGTCCCCAAAGTCTTTGACTGTTTGTCTCCACTGCGTTAGGAAACGGAGACTTTCGGGATGGGGTCCGTCGGTCAACAGAAATCAGTGTCTATCAGAGTCTACGTGACATGCTTCAGAATCAAACTCAGTGAAGTAGATTTATCCAAACATTATTTTCATCTTAATCGGTCATACTGAATTTCAGCATTTTCTCATTCTTCCTTGTTCTCTCTTGATGATTTTCTATCTCTTTTGGCTACTTTCTCCTCTACTTCTTTGTCTTTCATCTTAGTGCATTATCGCTGGATGTGTACATTTTAGGTGTGGCAATTTGCACCGCTATTGGGTAAAGCCAGGTCACATGTTAATATTCACCAACATACCCATTGATATTAAGCATATTTTCAAAACAATAGTGGAAACAATTCTTTATTTAGTGACGGTGAAGACGCTCCATTCATACATTCAGTCTACACAAACAACCACATCTATAAATAGTTACCGAAGGTCAACATTGTGATCATTTATATAAGTATACAGACAAACTAGTTGATAGTCAGTATAATATTCCTTCTATGTATACGCATTTTTTTTATGAATAATTTGGCAACCTAGATTAGTAATAAATTCTTTGACTTCAGCAGTAAATGATACGTATTCCAATCTTCAATAAAACACAGATTTCTTCAAAACTGAACCTATGGTTTCATAATGATTGTCGATTGATTGATAACATCAATTTATCGAGTACGTAGAGTACTCCTTCATTCGATATAATTCACAGTGATACCGTATTATTTATAGGATGACAATCAATCACAATTTATTGGTTACAATTACATAGACTCAATTATGACTTTCAGGCTTAATGATTTTTGTTCTTTTCACTTTTATTATTTGTTCTCCGTGAAGGCGAACCTTTCCACAACTCTGAAAATATCGCAGCACTTTTAATGGATGTTTTGGGAACTGGATCTATGAACGAATACTCGGTATTTAATCTTCTTTACTTTATTATCTTTTATCTTGATACCATGTGTGAATGCGACGTATGGCATCTTGGACTGTCATGCAGTAATGCTAGGTTCCGTGTTGATATCGATTGACTTAATGGAAAATTTGAAAATTTTAGGAAGACTAAGACAAAGCAATGCTTAGTTCAAAAGAGTAAATTCAACAGGTTTAATAAATATTTTGTATGAAAATTTATGAAATTATTATCCATTACCTTGATTGATGGTACAATCAAAGCATTCGAAATAATAGTCGACACCATTACCATTCCTATGAAAGACTGAAGGGGCCAACCAACCCTGTATAAAGTTGTTTTTTTTAAAAAAAATCAATGAAAGAAATGAAATCAAAGTATACATTTTTAGAATGATAATGCTAAAAACCTATCGAAACAAAACATATTCCTAAAATAGGACTGTAAACTTCATATTGACAAAAGGTGCAGAGTTCTCTGTATTGATACATAAGCATAACTGCGACCTATTTTTGGAGGCTGAAGCATTTGTTTTTTTGAAGTTACTTAGTGCAAAGAAAATATATTGGAAAGTTTCGAAACCAGAAGTAGCTCATTTCATATCTGATAGATAGAAAAACAAGTCAACAAAAGACCGAGTCTGATGATAAAGTTGTACTGATGACTGTGTACGTGAAAAATAGTGATTAGTTTATTTCGAAGGATAGCGAACATTTTTAATTATGATACCTTTCTGTTGTCAGTAGAACAGATTATAAAAAGTGAATCAAAAATAGAACATCTTCCCCTGGAACGAAATTTCGGTACACCAAGTAAGTTTCGCCCAGTACACCGCAAACTCAAATTTAGACTAAACATCCTCAGAGAGACATTATGTGACTAGTTTCAAGTAGATATTCTTTGAACTCTGGGGGTTACCCCTTAAGATTGAGAAGACTACACAATAAAACAATATAGACAGCTGATAAGTGTCAAGTGTTCATACCACTACCATCTTTCTTCCTAACTCAAACGTTTCCAATCCCTCTCCACTACTTACTGTAACGTACTATTAAAATTTGACGTATTTTCAGCCTACATTAACGATTCAAGCTCACAAAATGGCAACCATATTCTTTGAAAAGACTCCAGACTGACTGCTAAATCATGAAATGCCGACAACCTATTTCAGATCGGATGTTTCACTAGGTATTACAGTGTTATCTTGAACCAGGGATGTATATTTTGTTGATGAAACAGATACATAACCCGAATATGGTTATTAACTTGATCTTGCTTTGTCACTAAATCGAATCAGTAGCAATCACTCATCAAGTTATCAGAAAATTGATGACTAATTCCTATGGTTCTCCGTATACAGGTAGAGCATTGATTCCCATAGCAGATATTGAAATTCGTGACAGAATCCAGTGAACAGTTGCAGTGTTTCAGTGAAAGATAGAGATCAAAATGTAGAAATATCGACGCACGCACCTGGAGACTGAAGTCTGGATTATGCAAAAGATGATAAATGCTAGAATTTATACAGTATTCCGAAAGATGGAAAAACGTACAGACACAGTCATAGTGATCGGCTTTGTTGTGCATACAAGGAAGTTATGCGGAATATAAACAGATCTAGATATCACCTTCCGAGTCCCAGTTCAACAAGCCAATGATGATGATTGCTTGATATAATTTTAGTGTCACATCTAACCAATGTAAATCAACAACAAAGATACGTAAGTACAGTTCAAGTTGATACACACCAACGATATTCTCAGGGCATGATAAGAATGGTACAGCTACATAATCATCTTTTTATTTAACACAGCTAAGAATAAAGACATGACTGAACTAACAAGAACAAGAACAATTTGTGACCAGCAGCATAACTATTGAGCCAAAAATTTGCTTTATGAAAGACATCATGATGTAATCGTACAATTCAGACTTAAAAAAGTATCGGAATATCAAAACCAGATTTCGAAATTTCGGGACATTTGCTTTCATTTTACCCACTTCAGGATTTTGTTCACAGATGTATTTACAAGTACACACACATGCACGCGCGCACACACACACACCAAGTAATGTGTGAATTGGTAATGACGACGCAGATAACGCGATTCCATTTTACTTTGATTATTAGCTATGACACATAGTAAAACAATATTATTTACTGGATAGCGTTTCAGACACAACTTGTTATCTACATTCACATAAGGTAACTGCATAACTTCCGGATATCGCGTACATATTTCTAATTCCTTCTCCTCAATTATAACAGAGGAATCAGTTTGACTGAAATCATGTCCAAAATTAAGGTGATCATAATTATCGCACACCTAAGCGGAACTTGAGAAAACCAGGAAAGTTTTTAACCTGGACAACGGTACATCGATCATATTTTAACTCTTCGACAGGTGTACCTACTGGCGAATGGCTGACACTGATCATATTTATTGATCTGATGACTCCATTTGACTCAGTCGACTTTCAGGTGTTGTGACAGTGTCTACCTGGGAAATCATCACCATCCAAGCATATAACGCTAATCAAACCCCACCTCTCCAACTCACACACACGTGTAAGGTTATATGGAGAGTTGACAGCAGAATTGACGACAACTAATGGTGTCCAACAAGGATGTCCAATGTCGCCGTTCCCATTTAACTTCGTCATACACGTAATGATGGACATAACAAGAGGTACATCTGGCTTCACACCAATTGACCTATTCCATCTAGTTAACTTGCAGCATCCAGACGATATTATCCTGCTACATGAAGACGCTGACACAATGAAGGGTCCTCTCAATGCCTTGAGCAGAAATCTGAGTACGTTTGGAATGTATTTCGCTTACACCTGTCAAGTCTAAGATATGATCCTCCAGAACTGGTATGCAACCACGCACACTTTAGTGATAGGCGGTGAAGTCGTGGAATGTGTCAACTACTTCACTCACTTCGAGAGTTGGCATCACCCCAAAAAGGTTGGCTGCTGACCAAATCTCAGCTCGGATACAGACTGCTCGTTTGGCATTCGCTAACTTGTGTCATCTCTAGCCCCGACTGGCGAGATATCCGACATTCTGTCAAAGGACGAGTAAACTGGGCTGCTATCGCTTCTCTCCTGTTGTATGACAGTGAGACATAGAATAAATGAGGTGGTTATAGGTGTTTGATCATAGTTTTCTTCGTAGCACAGCTCACGTGTGGTGGGATCACCATGTGAGTAAAATTGAGGTTCTGTGAAGGGTGATCGACAAGATAGGCAAATCGGTTGGTGAAATTATGAACCTTGGGCGAATGAGATGGCATGGGCATGTAGTGCATATGCTAAGCCGCCACTACCTCAATGTGTAATCCTAGAAGTTGGATTAGGTTAGACGACGACTCAGGATATCTAGAACAAGACGCGGCGCAGTGTATGAAGTCTCTGGCTGTTGGTGTAAACCACATAAGGAGGTAAAGACTATCTGACTGGGTTACTCGAGATAATCGTAACCAACATTTGGATAGTTTTGGCGGATTGGCTGAAATTGGGTCACAGTGGTACAGGTGTATTCATTCTTTGATGCCTTCTAAAGCTTGAATATTTTCACTAACACCTTTATCTTCAAATCGCTACTCCACCCATACAACTTTGTCTGTTTTGATATGAGCCTTTCCTATCCACTTGTTCTTAGCATGTCGCTTCGAAGTGTGGCAACTTGAACCAATGCACTTCTGTATGAGGTCCTACATTGGTTTTGTTTGGGTGATAAGGGTAGTAGAACTTTCTATATGTCTGGGACAGAAGCTGAATCACTCATATTGAATGTATTCGGTGTTGATTTGATAAACAAAGATTTGACTATTAATCTTTCCCTCTACTCATGTGTTTGTTTTCAATACTATCGCTCTGTCCCCTCCTACTGCGTGGTTGTGTTATCGCATGCGTAGCTGTAGCTGAAGTCTTTTCTAGATTACTCATCTTATTAGGGTCTATCAATCTACACTTAGCTAGGTTCCTATGTTCTGTCAACCTGATTGACCCTGTTCGGTCAATTTAACCCATGTACTTGACCTCATTGCAAGGTATTTCGCAAATTAAATTATTCTGTCTAGTTGGTTCTCTATAATTCATAAGCCAACAAAGTTTGTCTCTAAGTGAGTTTGAAAGTTTGAATGCCACCTTAATTACAAATATGTTGAGAATCATACGTGGGGTTTCCAGTGCCCCCTATACGACAGCACTATAGAGGCCTTGAATTTCTTTTTAGTCATGTTGCCATCTTCGTTTGCATCACTACTTTTCCTTTTACTATATACCTATATGTGTTTCTGAATAAATTTAGAAGGATAATTATTAAACAGTAAAGTTCCTCCTGTATGTTTGATTTTTTTATTCAATATTTTTTGAATTACTGGAGGGATTTCTAGTTCGATTACTTAAACACTTGACTAAACCTACTATTACTGATAATATAAATTATTTGCCTTATTCCACTCTATTTCCATCCGAACAGCATAATTCCAATGGCTAACTACTTTGACTTTGCAATCATTGCAAGGGATTTGGCGAACTGAATTATTTCTCCTAACTGGATGGATAAGACCTCAAAAACTACATAAAGCAGGTTTCTAAGTGAGTTTGTGGGTTTAAATGCCACTCTAATCCCAGTCTACAAACAAACGCAGAGTGACAATATTAAACACTAGTTGGATGAAGGAAGAGATTGATAACCAAATATTCGTTTATTAAACTAACACTAAATATATGCAATATGAATGGGTCAGCCCCTATCCTAAATACACGGAAAATTCTATTACCCTGTCACAAAGGAGGAGAGAGAATTAGAATTATGCAAACCATTTCTGAAAATGGTGCAGTTATCTAATATGAATATGGACAATAAGTTGTGTCTGAAACATTATCGAATAAATAATATTGTTTCACTGTGTGGCATATATAATGAACAAACGAAAATGGAATTACAATCTATTAGTCCCAAAGTTTTACTTCTCTGCAGCTAATGCAGATCGAAATAAAATAACGATTTCGTACCGAACATAAAATGAGAAAAAAGGAATTTATGTTTCTTCTCGAAAATGAATCAGTCAAACGAGCAGTGCTTTCAAGAGTGTCGACGTTTATACCTTAGTTGAGTGAGTACCCTTAAAGTATTTTTACAGTGTGTGTGTGTGTGTGTGTGTGTGTGTGTGTGTGTGTGTGCGACGTTGTCACTTAGCGCAAATAAAAGGCTACTAGGGTCAAATACATTTCTGCCTATTTGTCGTTAAAGTTATCACTTTATGTCGCACATGTCGGTTGACTTCACTGTGTTGCTTCCAGATAGGTAGTTTTCTCAATGATTACGAGTCGTTATGAACTTTAGGTATATGCCACCGTATTGAATTTAACCACAAAGCTTCGACGGTTACTTCCTTTTCATTTTAATATGAACTCCTCCCCCCCCCCCTTCTATAGTTGCATAAACAGGGAGCTACAAAAACACAATCTAAACATCAAAGATTTCATTACACAGTATCTAACAGCATACAAAGAAAACATTTGAAACTTACATTTCATCTTTACGAAATACCAACCATGTTAAAGCAATCGATAAACCAATAGGCAACGTGACCAGTGAAATGGCAGATATTTTCTTCAGACCCAAAATGCGACAAAATTTCAGTTCACATGTTATTCTGAATGAATTATATAGCAGTAAGACAAATCATAGAAACGTAATGCAGTCATGCATATATATATATATATATATATATATAACCTATTTTAGAATCGAATCAAAAATCGAAATCAACTCAGAGACCTTGTGCGAATTCTTGCAGCAAGTAATGAGTTAAACTTAATATGTAAGGGCTAATGATACTACCAAGCTTCCCAAAAATCAGTAGGTAGACCTATGTTTGAACCCGTAATCCATTGGTTGTACGTCGGAGTAGCGGGTTTAAGAATATATTTTTAATTGCTGCTCCATGGCAGTTTATGTTGTTTTTTCTAAAGCAACTAAAAGTTAGTCTGTTATAATTTACAACAGACTTAGTTGTTTACAAAAATGAATGACAATGGAGCAGCAACTGAAAATATATATTTAGATGCGCAACTAGTAACATTAGTCATAGACATACGTTGAATTCCAAAAAAAAATACCTGGTATAAAGCAAGGCAGTTAGGTAGTAGAATTCTGATACCTTAAGCTGATTTAGGAGTTTGTCAATTTCCATTTTGATGTTTGTCTGTAATCAGTAGTCTATGAAGAAAGTTCGAATACTCTATATGACATCAGTATCCTCGAAGTTGCACATATACCTTACTGGTAAGTAATTAATAATTTCAATGCAACTCAACCCGATACATGCTTATGTAATAGGCTATAAGTCAAACTTGCTGACGGCCTATGATACTAATCGTTTGCAGTAGTTAGTGCCAATAATTAGTATAGGACTTCTCCTGATTGATTTCTGACATTTAAAACTGTGGATTAATTTAGTTTGAAAAAGATAAGCTAAGAAACTGTCCTATTGACAACGGGAAGAAGATATAAAAGTAGGGAAAATCTTTAATCTCATAACCGGATCCTTTATCAAAAACTTATTTGTGACTATTCATATTACGACTCATTTCAGTGCAAATGTTGTTACTATACACTACTTACTGAAAGATGCGTTCAAAGGTTTTAAGTAAAATGATAGTAATCTACAAACAGATACACATCCAAAAGATAAATGCATCAACCGCATACTGGTCGACATCTTTAGTTCACGTAGCTAAAAGGAACATGAATTTTAAGTCTCCTGATGTTTGGCAGGAGTATTGTCATTAGTTCAACGTGATGACTAGATTCAACGAGGATAAATACAATGCGACATAAAGGAGGAGTAGATAACAAGGAATCTTGTAATACTACTGAGACCAATATTGAAAGATATCACTCGATATTGTTAACTAGTATATCAGGCTATTCAAATAACTTTAGGTCACCGCCGTGAATTTAGTACACGAGCGACAATGAATAAATAGAAGTAATGTAAACATGTGCAAGAATCGGTCAACAGTGCGCAACCGCTGTTTCTCTAGCTCTCAATCCTAGGTGCTGACTACATATCATACAGCTCAAGCACTTACGGACTAAACAGCTTGACCGATGACTGGTTGTGTGCATACTCCAGTCGTACGACAGAGACCCGATCGATAGCTGCTACCTTGACGTGGCGTTTGTGCCTCCGTATCACTATGACCCGACAAGCTACTCTAACTGGAACGGTTGTTCCCTCGAGGTCCTTCCATAGCAGAAAGGTTTGTTGGATAGTGGTAAGACGAAAAGCAGTTACCGTTGTAGTGCAAATTACTACACTATGATGGGGGTTTGAAGGGGAAGTCATACTGGTGCTAGCTGGATGGGGTGTGACAACGGTAAGATGTTTCCCTTGGATGACCACCAGTGCCACTCCGATGCTGTCTTCCCAACAGGAAGGGGAGAAGGTTAGGAAAGGTCGACCCCACAATAATAAACTGCACCATGTCCCATGGGTTTTTAGTGCCAGCTGTATAGACTCTCTCTATTCAGTATTAGAACAACGAAACCTCAAAACAACACCCCAAAAAAGGCTGTGTGACAAAGCGGCAAGCAGACGTCCCATGGGCTCTGCAGTCACATACATCCTTCCCTCTTTCAGATAATTTAGGAAGAAATAACCTGCTACAGTGTGAGAAGTGTCGACTGCCCACATGTTTCCAGTACTATCCAAAACACAATCAAATATAACCTTTCCTCCTCAACTGTCTCCTCCTTTGCCTTCACCTACCTGTTATTATCTTCCCAAATCTCTTACTCTGTAAGCATTAACAACAATCAAGGTCATTGATACCTCATTCTTAGTTTCCTAAGACTCACATGCCATTGGTTTCATGTAGGGGGTTTCAACGTCCGAACTCGATACCAAATTGAACAGCAAGCTACGCTCGCTAAAACTCAAGAATCTCTAGCCATGGATGTATGCTGTATCTCCCAGACACGTGTACAGGACCTGAGTGTGGTTACTAAGTTGACCTCGCCTGACCATACTAGTAAATCTCCAAACTTCACCTTAGGATATCCGGAGACCCAGTGGTTAGCTTTAGTGAACTCGCTGACGTATGCATAGCATTCAGCTGCAGGGTAGAAGGTGCGCTTCTCGACTGGATACCAGTCAATAGCAGTCGATGTGCTGTTCCACTGAATGGATCTATTAGGACTAGGAGGGATGGAGTGACTAGGCGATGCCTATTCGTAATCTCCACCTACGCACCCACCGAATGTAGCTCGGATAATGCAAAGGATGAATTCTATGAGAAGCTGCCAATTTTGCTACATCAAGTAAAACGTTCAGATGCAGTCATGATGGGAGGTGACTTTAACGCTGAAGTAGGGCAGCTGAGTTACTCGGAAAGGCATCTGGGAGATATCTATGGATTCCCATCCCAAAAAACTGACAACAGTGATCGCTAGTTGTAATTTTTTTCCGACAACCACTTGCTTCTGGTCAGCACTAACTTTAAGACTAAGAAGAGACATTCTCTCACATAGAGTCCGCCAACATAAAAACAACGATGGACACAGATAGATCACATTGCTATAAGCCATCGTTGCACAGGATCGGTGGAGGATTGCCACTCTTTTTGCAGTACCAGTTTGGACTCCGACCACATGCCATTGTGGGCTAGTGTGTGTCTGCGTCTTACTGGTCGCAGGAAACAGGAGGCAGTAAAACCCATTTGTGCTCGATTGGTAGATGACGACGACAAGTATGCATTTGGAGAGGAATTAGTTAAGTATTTATATAAACGTGACAACAGTGCTCATCCTAGGGAAACACGGCGTGATACTAAGTCTGCTGTAGAAACCACAGTAAAGACAGATGGTTACCTACACCGGAAGGTTAACAGACGTCATTGGATCTCCGTAACGCCATTCGAACTAATTGATGCGAGAATACTGATTCAAGCTGACTCTGACTACGACAAAGAGCAAAAGGAGTCTAAACTTAAATTGACCAAGAGTCTTTACGTCGATCGCTAACGATGGTGGATGACGACAGCGAGAGAGATGGAGAAGGCATCAGCGTTGGGTAGCACTCGGCAGTTATTTAGGCGCATTAGGTATCCGGCAAGAAGTCGATGGTGAGTGAAACCATCACGGAAAAGGATGGGATGCTAATAACCTCTCAGGACAGGCGGCAAGAACGTCGGGCAGAAAACTTTGAAGCACAGTTCTACTGGTCATCAGCAACGCTTCAGTTACCCCATATCTAGCCTGAACCTGAATGGCACATAGATGTCGGTCCTCCAACTCTCCTTGAAGTTGAGAATGCTGTATCGAACCTGGAACGATGGAATACAGAAGGACCTCACAGTCAGCGACCTGAAGGTTTCAAGGATGGAAGTAGGAAACTGCTGACGGAGCTACTATTTAGTGTATGGGAACCAGAAGTGGGGCTGTCAGACTGGTCTGCTTCGCTGATCACCCTAGTCTAAAAGAAGGTATAGAAATCTTCTTGTGACAACCATGATGGAATTAGTTTGACGGATATAGTGTGAGAGATCCTACCCTCCCTGGCAATCCAACACCTAACTGCAATTCGAGCAAACCAGGAAAGTTTTTAACCTGGACAACGGTACATCGATCATATTTTAACTCTTCGACAGGTGTACCTACTGGCGAATGGCTGACACTGATCATATTTATTGATCTGATGACTCTATTTGACTCAGTCGACTTTCAGGTGTTGTGACAGTGTCTACCTGGGAAATCATCACCATCCAAGCATATAACGCTAATCAAACCCCACCTCTCCAACTCACACACACGTGTAAGGTTATATGGAGAGTTGACAGCAGAATTGACGACAACTAATGGTGTCCAACAAGGATGTCCAATGTCGCCGTTCCCATTTAACTTCGTCATACACGTAATGATGGACATAACAAGAGGTACATCTGGCTTCATACGGACTGTTGGTCTGAGTCGGGTGGGAAGATGTAGACTGCCTGGTTGGGATCTAAGACACTTGGTGACATGGTTGAAAATAGGTCACAATGGCCCAGATGTATTCGTTCCTTGAAATCTTCTGAAGCTTGAATATTCACACTAACCTTTATCTTTAGATTATTTGTGCTCTCAAACAACTTTGTCCACTTTGACATCAGTCTTTTTTCTATCCACCTGTTCTTTGTGTACTATTGTGAAGTATGGCAACTTGAACCGACTCACTTGTGTGCGAGGTTCTACGTTGATTTTACCAGTCAATCAGTCAGTCACGATTGAGAGGGGAATCGTTAGCTGAATAGCTTAGTCTCTTATGGTAAAAATGAGTAGTGCCAGTTTGAGTCATTTTCAGGACACTGATTTTCTTATGATTGCAGATACACCTTGGTGATGATTGCTGAAACACAGGAAACTTAGGTCCTCGGCATGTTGTCAACAGACTCTGACATCTAACTGTACATATGTGTCGAAAAATTACCATAGGAAAGGATAAATCAATCTATTTTCATTTTAGATAGTATCAAGATTGTTTTTCGATGAAGAAGACTATATATATATACGTCAGAAATAAGTTTACTCTCATAGCTTTTTGTTACTACGCATTCAACGCAAATGAATTAATAATTTTATACTAAGAAAGCTGAGAAAAAGAACGTACACTTTTTTTGTTCCAGGAGCAATGTATTGAGTAATAAAGTTCAGAAAACACGAAACTGAATGTGCACCCACTAGGACAAACATGGCAATCAAGATATAAACTAGAAAGGAAATAAACAATTTAAAGTAGGATAGGGTATGTTAGCGAATAAATTTAGTCACGTTAGGTATTTACATTGTACTAAAATTCACATAGTAAAAAACAGTAGCCAAATAAGATATTTATATCCCAGTTGCAAAAGTGATGCATGATTAAATCAAGTTTTATTGGAGGCAAGGATACCCACTATTAAGGCATATGAACATCAAGTAGATGAACCTCTAAGCAAAGTGATAAGAACTATAGTTCATTACGTTAAAAACTACTAATACATTGACAAACATTTAAGTTTCAGTATATATGATTTTGAATGAAAACATAGACTATTTCAAAAAGCTATTTGTGTTGCACAAGTAAAGGCAGTTTTTGTTACAAAAGTTGAAACGCGTTATTTTAAAGTACCTTCAGTGTAGTCATTTAGGATCGGAAGAAAAATTGAGCAGTGCCCAAAACGTTTACACTTATCTTGCTGGTGAAACTTGGGGTGACTTTAAAGGTCATCCTAGGAACTAATGAGACAGCTAATTATATTACTTTATTTTATGGAAAAGTACTTTCCCAGGTGAAATACCGAAGCCTGGTTGGTCATTTTAGCAGTTGCTAGGGTAGCCTTTAAAGTCACTCGAAACTTATAGTGTCGACATTTTATCACTAATACTCGAACACTATGTAGTGAACAGATTTGAGTTCGCCACTGTTGGCAATGAATAGTATATTTAATTTTATAAAATATGCATAACACAAATCTGTGTTACTTCTGTAGACTGAACTGAGCGAACAAGTATGTGGAAACATGTTTAGACTCATTCCTAGACATATTGAACTTGGTTATATCGAGTGATCAGCAGAGGTGTATCAATTCTATCAACTAAGACAAGTAACTCTAATTTGCAGTATACTGTAACTAATGCTGGATAGATGAAACTGATCGTAAGTAATCCTTGATCTAGATTTTCCAATTTGAAGATGGCTTTTATAGACTCAGTGACAACATTGATGAATGTGGTGCCAAGGGACATCAGGTCACATTAAGAAGATAGAACTAGGTTCCCTGAGAATATACAGATAGGATCCGATGATAAGTGAGAAGGATTGCAAAACTTATATTTACAGTTTTCTACTGACAGCTTTAAACCAAACAACACAATCGAATATTCATGATACGAATATTGGTATTGTTAAACCAGGAATACGCACATTCATGTATAAAACATTTGTTCAAGGCTTTAGATTGGGTCAAAGTAAGAACATAACGAATAGAGGTATAATTTTTCCTGATACAGTATCGCTTTGTTGTACTTCAGGATGATGATTCAACGAAAAGTTTGATTGCACACGTGAACAAATGCTCAAAAAGGTTAATCTTGTGATTTCATGAATAAAAACTAGGAGTCTATTATTCATGTGTACGATGAGCGAAAATACACCGAACAATAAATGTCTATAAATAAAGCAGTGTGGTGAACTACTGTCTTTCCCTTTCATATTACATTCTCTGTCTTTATGTATACATTTACCCTAGACAAATTATTTTGTGAAAATTTTGAGTACGTTCATTAAAGCCAACAGAGAGAAGGCATGTAAAAAGTATTTACTTTTAGATACATCCTTCTGGCCAAAAAAAAAAAAAAAATAACAGAACAATGGAACGAAAGAAAGATAAGAAAGTTTAAAAACTGAACGATACATTCACTTCTACAGCTTTGTAGTATTTCAACAGAAGAAATACTGAGTCAGTCTACTGGTCACCAAGTATGATTAGCCTTTTTAAAAACTGCACCAATAGAAAAATGCAATTACAGCAAGCTACTGAAATAAATCATCAAAGCTACAAACAGGCGCACACATAGAGTAATATGAACAGTATAGGACTTAGAATTAACGAGTAACCATTCAAAATAAAATGTTTTGAATCAGCCTATTGATGGGAGGAGAGAGAAGAAACTGAAAACAATAATATCAGCAGATGTGAAACGTCACACTACTACAATACTGACAGCTTTCAAAACTATCAGTAAGGTTAGCTGTGTGCCTTTGACTCAACCGATTAAAACTGCAGTCGACGGACAACCAAATTCGTTCGTGCGATTGGCTGAATTTATTTTATCGGAGGTTGAGCATCTTTTTTCACAGTTCCTTTTTGTATTCCCTCAGAGAATACGAGAAAAACTCATATAAAACTTTAGGCGCATGTAGATTGCCATAAAAGCTTAATTATATATATCTTTTCTTAGCACAGATCTTGTGTGAAGAAATAAATGTCAGCAAGGAACTTAATTGTCAATTCTGTGACAGTAAGCAAACAGCTATTTCATTCTCGTAATCACTATTGTATTATTATCTCGATTACTCCTACTAGTTACATCATTCAGTTGCTATAATTATGGCTGTTGGAAATGTTGTACAAAGATTTAATTTATTTGAGAAATTAAAAGCCGGAAATACCGATCTATATCATAAATATTGTCAAGAATAAGAAGACTATTACCATTATTATGAAACAAGGTCGAAGAATGTAAAGGGGATCAAGATTTCTGATGTTATGATTTACATAGCATGAATGTATCCATGCACTTTAAATGATTCTGAGAGTCATATCATCTAAAGTTTTTAAACATTCCCGTACATAAGCGGATATAGCAGTCAGAGATTTCATGAATTAGTGTCATATCCAGGTCTGACCTTCTGAAAACTTTTTAAATCTTATCTCACTTCATCTAACAGTGCATTGAAGTAGGAGATTGTTCAGTATGTGTAGTAAGTGACCCAACCAGCTCACAGAACAGAGGTCTACCAATTATCATCAAGTGATTTGTAGCCCCTTATCTAGTTACTTTACGTGTAACTCTTGCATTGCTTACGTGGTAGTCTTCTCCCGTGCCAGTGATGCTACGGAAGCAACGAGGAGTGATTGCTTGAGGTCATCTTGTAAAATCCTTCAACTTTAGAGGTGATGTCTCATAGCCCAACAGTAGGATAGAGTACACTGTAGGTGGGTACACACCCTCCGCCACCATACCACAAATAAAGTAAGTGATCTAGAGTTGGTCGAACCAAAAATTTTGTTTACGGACAATGAACTAGCACTGATATTTTGAGCATTCTTGGATTAATAATCAATGTCACATGAGCACTCCAAAATGACTGAAGAATCCTCTGTAAGGAGAGGAAAACATGTTATCAAAGCAAAGACTCTAGCAAACAACTAAGACGTTATCAATCAAGTTAACTACAAAAGTATTGGTTAGTCTTAAACTTGTACATGTAGCAGTTAATAGGCAGAATAGCTTCAGAATGATGGCATCTCATCTACCAACTCATCAATATAAACAAAATATTATCTGTCAGACATCGAGTTTTAAATAATAAGTGAAGTATCAAGTCTCAGAAGTTTTGTTTACATTTGAAGTGGTGTTAATTGAGGTGGGTCAGAAGAAACGCATTAGGCTGTTTATTTCACTTCTCTACATGGAATACGCTTTCAGTAATACTTTCAATACAGTAGAAAATGGGCTTTTGCTCCTCACTACTCTTTATCCCCACGTATTTCATAATTTAAAGTCACTGTCTTAACCAGTATTTACTCATTCGCCTGATATGATGTTTTCCTATTTGTTACTGTGTAAAATCAGTCTTAATTCCAACGACCAGGCTTCAGAATCAAACCCACCACTAAACAACTTTATTTTACACTACAATTCATACGCGAAATTGCCACTTCAGTTGACCGACATATTGTGATGGCTATTCAATTCGTGTGCATTGAAGTAACAAAACTCATCACTGCTTAACTTTTTTCAATCTAGACCCCCTGAAATAACTCTCCTGGTGGATGAACATATATCCAAATGGCTTGAAAAGCAATTCAATACACAAACATTGATAAGTGCAGATGACAGACATCCATCGTCATCTATAGCAAAACATACCATTGAAATGAATCACAGGGTTAATACGAAAACAGCCTTCACGATATTATACAGGAATAATCAGGGGCGTATACTGAAGTTTGCCGAAGCGTTAGCCATTCGTAAACTTAAGCTCCCGCTGTGCGTACAAAAACAACTTGTTATTTCGCTTAATTTACCCTGGTAATCCTTATCTGATTATATTACCAAGGCTAGTGTCATAACCTTTTCATATTTATCATGTTTGACCTTTGATTTTCATATATAAATTGGCATGACAAGTAAATGTGTGATCAGATTGTTCGATATGTATTGCGCAAATACATCACATTTTTCAGATAATCTTCGTCTTCTAATAGCGTTATCGGAAGTCTTCCAATTATTAGATTGACTGTCAAATTTAAATACACTTATGTAGTCATCTAATCAGTGTAAAGATAGTTATATGGCTAGAAGAACCCACTGTGTAGCCTTTTCAAGCACTTTCAAGTATTATATGATGTTGCTTGTATTATCCTGTTGTTGATTGGATCGAATTGATCCGTCTCTATTGGCATATGGGGTCGTGTGTGGATGCCTCGATAATGCTTGTATTTTCACTTTCGATATTATTGATGGGTAGTGGAAACCAGGATGCGCATGGGAACAACACCGCTTAGTGGGAGGCAGGTAAACCCAGCTGACGAGCCCCAAATAGGACGAAGCGTGCGTCATTTATTCCACTGCCAAAACAAAAGTAAGATTAGCTAACCTATTAAATATAGAGAAGCAAATAGATAAAAACTTTAGCTGTCCTATTTTTATACAAGATTTCATCGAAAATTTCCCATTTCGCATGCCTTCGATTACAAAGTATGGAAGAAGTAATGTTTATCTGAACTTTCGTGACAATATTTCTTCATTTTTCTTTAAACGATCTTCATTGTATGTCATTCAAGTCGACTTACTATAAATATTGTCCTTATTTGCATCACTATTATCATAACGCTCAATTAATGACTTTCAGCATCCAATCATTTTTATGAACTTATTACAATTTGACAATGTTTTTTTCCTGCCACGCCACCTTAGCACAGTATGTACTGACACAGTAGGTGACTTACTAAGGTTATACAAACACCTGAACAACTGTATTATTGCTACGGTTACCTTTATTAGTAGATCTTATTAACTCATATAGTATATGAAATCGTACTCAATCAACTATTCACTGGTTTTTAAATATTTACATTTCATAAAAAGAGCTATCATTGTAAAGTGTGTTAAGAAACTACTAAAGAAGTAATGAGTCGTTTCGATTAACTCTACGAATTATTAGATGAAATTATTACTCATGTTATAATTGACTGTCATCTAGTAAAGACAGTAACTTGTGCGTAGACATGTTTCAAAGTAAAGCATGTCATTAAACCCATTTAATCAATAATTTAAATGATCTAATCAACGCTATATAATCCGAAGAAACATAATGAATATAAGTTTCATGTATTTATACTGAATGATTCATTATGGTACAACTGGAAACAAGCTGGCTTATATCAAGGTAAGTGTTTGTAAAATTCTCAGTTCACAATGATAATGACATAAAACTAGGTGAGGACCAACTTTGACATGGGACCATTGCTCATTTTGGCAATCAAAATAGTGGAACCAAGAACTTTGGTGCTTTCAATACCATGAATAACGTTAAGATTAAAGGAAGAAAAAGTGCACAGCATATATAACACCAAACGATGTGAGTAGTTAGAACACAACCATGCCAATTAATAGTTCTTTACACACTGAATCTAAGTGAACTGAATGCTAGACAGTTGTTTTAGACAAATGTAAACTGGATGGAGGCAATCGTCAGGAAGCCTAGAACCTAGATTTCGTGCTTCTTGGCATCCGTAAGCATGGTGTATTTGCAGCTTGAAACAAGTGCCAAAAAGTACGAAACCTAGATCCAAGACTTCCGATTGCTCCTGTCCAACTAACATCTATCTCAGTGCAACGCAACAGTGAACTTTCCTAGCCTAGTGGCCACATGGTAAAATGATCGATAAAATTTGAGTAACACTTAGGACTAGGCTGCATGAAATTGGTTACTGATTGTCCTTAGGTTCCTAGAAGAACGTAGGGCTTCAGTAACACGTCTCCATTTCGTTCTGTTCTCTGAAGTTCTTTTAACCTGGCTCCACGACTGCCTACCAGCTTTCATTTCCTCTTCACACCATCTCCTCCATGTCACCCTCCGACGCCCAACTCGTCGCTTCCCACTCGAGGATCTGGCGAGTGATCTCCTCAAACAGTCTTCTCAGTGCATGTCCAGTCCAATCCATCTCCACTTTATTCTGCTTATTTGTTGGGCGATAGCTTCTTAGTTGGTTCGTTGCCAGCCAGCCACAGTCCCTTGTTGCTTATTCTTATTATTCAGGCCATCTGATCTACAGTATCAAATGAGCGAAGGCAGCAGCCGTTGATGAACGTCTGTAGTTTGTTGGAAATGCTTTTCGTAAGGCACAAAGCTTATCAACCATATACAAATACCGACTTGACATTAGTAGTGTTGAAAATCCGGATCTTGCTCTTTATGCTGAGTGCAGTGCAGTGCAGTGCAGTAGATCTCCACACTGATTTCAGATTAATGAAGGCCTGTCTTGCTGTCTTTTTGATCCTAGCTGCTTTGACCTCCTCATCTGTGCCACCGACACGCCGCCTGTATTTGAAGCGATGCTGCCTAGGTAGGTAGATGAAGGAGACAACTTCCTCTAGATTCTTCCCGTCGATGGTGATTAGTGCTTGTAGTTGTTGTCCTTGTTGTTGGTTAGGTATCTTCATCACCTCCGTCTTCTTCACGTCCACTTGGAGGAGGTCCCGTCTTCTCTGCTCTGCCTCGCCTCTTCTGCCAACTTGTTAGTTTTAACCTGTAGATCTTCGAGTTTGTGCGACAAGACATTAGAAATAAATCATCATCATCGGCGGCGAAATCCAAATCTTCTAGGCTCTTTTCATTGCATCGGTCAAACAGAGTATGCCCATCTTCTCACTGCTCCTCACAGTTTGTTGCAGCATCCAGTCAAGTCGAGTGGAGTCGAGTCAACCACAATCAGGAGGATCATCGGTGGTGGTAGGCGGCAAACTTGTATTACTCCTGTCTTCACTTCAATGGCATCACTGAACTTTCCATTGTGAATCACTTGGCATGTAGTGCCATGTAGCATATAGCTTTAGAATGAGGTTGATAAAGGTTTGTGGCACTAAAACCGTAGTGTTGAAGCAGCTGCTTGCTAAATTACTTCTCAGATGACGCCTTGATAGATGGGCTTTTCAAAATCGATGAAGTTAAGGTAGAGTTGAGTTGAGGTGACTGCCATTCTATGCTCTATTTTATGATGATGTGTAGCGTAGCGCTGCAGTTCGATCCGCACATTTGTTTTTCCTGAAGTGCATGAAATTGATTACCTTCTAGGAACCAATCAGTGTAGATGTTTCTTTCCTTTAAGTTTCGAAAAAAATCCACGGTGGTATTTCACAAGTGTTTCACATACAGCTGAATCATTATGACTATGAATCAACGGCCTTGTAAATACTTAATTTGATTTCAAATATTATTAGCTCACTCGATGCGATAGTCAGCTTTGAGTTGATTTGAAGAATTCTACTCTTTGAGCTGAATAAATCAAAATACATAGACACAGAGCTTGGCCAAAAACAGGATATTAACCATCCAGTCTTTTAGATAGCTTTAATCTGATTAGCGGGCACTGCAAACCTGAATCAATGGTTTCCAATTACCCCATCATTCAGTATTTAAGATCTTTCAGATTATTAGGGTTATCGTAAGTAATTCTCGATACCGTGAACTTGCATTCCAGTTTACTGAAGAAATATTTAAATATTAATTAAACTGATCAATTTTCGCATAGTTTATGACTAATTTGGTTGTATATAGTTTTTAGATCCAACATAAATAAAAAGACAGAGTTCAAACCAATCACAGTAACTGTGAATCTTTCAGAGATGAACATAAACTCGGATAGCAAAGCTTTCCAGGAATAAGCACAAAGGATAAAGTAAGATGTGAGATGAAAGAATGAAGTTATTATGGGATTCTATCAGTAATTTTTAACGAAGTAAATCAATGCAAAATTCAACGATGCAGTTGACATTAGTAGACATGAAACTTATTCCTAAATATCGTTCTAGGAAAAAAATCCTGGAAACTTCCTGAGCTTATGCTAGTAACTTGAATTCGCAGGCACATATAAGCTACATGACAGTAACCTAAATAATGCTTTGTCCGTGCGTTAGGTTTCGACTTTTTTCAACTCTCTACACTAATGAAAATGACCCACTCAAAAAAGGAATATCAAGCGCTTTTATCAAAATATTTTGAAACATCTGAGTGTTCAGAACACTCAGAACTAGAAGAGAGAGTACAATAGCATGATATCATTGTATGCATCTACACATTGTCTACTGTCACTACAGATTTGATAAGTGAGGAAAATAATTAAAAGCTAAACCTAATCCTATAGATGGTGGAGAATATACACAGTATAAGACCGCTAGTTTAAAAAAAATAACGATCTCGCTTCAGTGATGATACCTACCACCTTGACGTGGTGGTCGGGCCTCCATATCACAATGACCTATCGAGCTATACTGGTGGAACACTTGTTCCATCAACGTCCTACCATACCAGAAAGGTCTGTTGGATAGTGGTTACAAGCAAAGTAGTTACCGTTGTGGTGTAAATTACTACACTATGACGGAGGTCTGAGGGCGAAGTCGTACTGCTGTCGGATGGTTGGGTTGTGACAGCAGTAAGGTGTCTGTCCCCCTTGGATGACCAGCAGTGCCATACTGATGCTGCCTTCTCAGTGGGAGGTAGGGTTAGAAAAGGTCAGGTCCCAAAAATAACACACTCCACCATACCCAATGGTCTGCCGAGGCGGCCGTGTTGGTTCATTTTTCATCTCTTTTCGACCATCCGACCCCGAAACAAACATACACAAAAGGGTGCGTGTGAAAGGCTTCAAGCAGATGTCCCATGGGCTCTGGGGTCTTTCAGTTACCTTAAGAAGAAATAGCGTTCCACGGTGTGGGCAGCCGGGAAGTGTCAATCACCCTCACAACTCTGCCAGCACTCAAGTTTCCGATGCATTGATGATAAATTACACGCTGCACTCATTTATTAACGGATCACTCTTCATTAATATAAACCAGATGGAAATCATAGACCCTCGAATGCTTACTGTATTCAACTGTCTCATTAAATGTATCATAGTGCACATCTTACCATAGCAGTTGTGAACTCGTAAACACTAATGTGTAAAGTGGAAATTTACCTCTTCAACCTGAAATCAAATATGACATTTATACTACTATCGTTATGAATGAAAAAAGAACTCACCGATAACATCATAGAAAAAGTAACTGATAACCAAAGTTCCAACTGCAATTAATAAAAACACGGCAATGAATAAATATGAACATGCGCCAGACTTTGGTAATCCAGTATACCGTTGCGCGTAATCTGACAGTCTAAATTTAAAAAGTTTCGATGAAACAGATTGATGGTGAACAAAAATATGAGTAGCAAAAAGATTGTAGATAAAACTATGGTATTGTTGCATATTTGTATTCTCACAACCTGCTTTTTTATTCACCTTACAACGTTTTGCGGTAACTACTCTTATTTTAATGACTGCCTTCCCCTTCATCGTTTTCATCTTGATCCATTCATATATTTGGTGGATGGGACTGTTGCATAGTTAACCAATTCCCATGCTAACAATATCTTTCTACCCATCTATCTGTTCATAATTAATTGGTGACGCAAACAGTCCAATATATAATCGTGTTTAAGAGGATGAATTATTTCAGTAATTATGAAGAGGTAAGCATTTGCTAATTACCAACTTAGTAATAAAGTATATAATTAGACAAATTGGGTCATCAACCAAGGCTATCATCTGATGACTAATAGTTATTCAAATGATAACATATAGCACCGATATTGACCACCAGATCGATGGTGTATCTTAAAAGAATCCATTTAACCTAATATTTAAGAACAGTACCTTAATCATTGTGAGCTCATATTCTGTTTCATTCAACCCCTTATTCAGATAAAAGTATAAACTGTTGACAGAAAAAAAAACATCTACTTTATATTTCTTAGATTTTAATGTTTCACATAGAAAACTAGCTACAGATTGATTGACTTGTCATAGACACCTTAAATAGATTTTATTTAAAAATAAAAAGTTAAGAGCTAGGACGAATATTTTTATTTTTTTTATAAAGTATATCTAATATACAAATAATAAAATTAATTAGTGTATTAAATGAAAAGAAATGAATACAACTATTTCTAAACATAACCCAACAACTGATAAGAAAAACGTTCACCTTTATCTTTATTAAAAGAATGCATGGTATCATTTGACTATCTGAGATAACCATAGTTTGGCAGACTAGTATTTATTCTGAGTGATGATTGAAGGATTTATTAGCTCAGTTGGTAGAGTACCAAGCCGGTAACCCAGTGGTCGCCGGTTTGAATCCGATTACGGTCCAAAGTTTACATTTCATCTTCAATCATCACCCAGTATGAATGTATGGTAATTATGGCGAGTTTAAACTTTGATTAGATGTGATTATTACTGTTAACTTTCTTGGTGTAGATATTTCTCATTAGTACATTGATTGGTCAACCACAAAAGAAACCAGTCATCGCAGACTCCAGGTGGTGTGGTTTAGAATCGATGTCAGTGGCGCAGATACATACACACATTGTCCTCATCTTAAACACTACACCTTATCTCATCTCATTCTTCCTTCCTCTCTTTCACTACTTTCTACTTCTACTTCTTTTGACTGATTTTTCTTTTCTTCAATCAATTCCATGTTGTTTAGTACTGAGTACTTACAAAATCTTATCGATCATCTTTGTTAATGCGATAACCAAGATAGAAGGCTCATAATCGTGCTGCACTTTGATGGGTGTTAGTTGGTTGGAGGGGCAATAGGCAGAAACCCCTGGATTTAGGTTTCTTACTTGTTGGTAATCGTCAGCAAGGCGTATCTGCAACCTCGAGGGAACTGATGTCCCCTGTAAGATTTGAAATGATCAAAAATGATCAACAAAATTCAGTCAGTACTAGAGATTGGGTGCTCTCTAGTAACCAATCAATGTATGTAGTCTAGTCCCACAGGAGGTCAGTCGCCGCCCAAATGGCTCAGTGGTGATGTCACTGACTGTCACATTGGGTGACAACTTCATTCTGCATTTCATTTCAAACGTAATTTCAACTCCATTCCAGAATTTAAACTAAAGTGTATAGATAGATCAAATAATAATTATTCGTTTGTTTCCTTCTATAGTTAAAGTAGTGCTACTTGAATAAATTTACGTTAAAAACATGTGAAATAGTCAAGCATTTCAGATCGTTCGAATAGTGTTACAAGCTTTGTCATTGCTCGTCTTCTGAGGAATATGGAAATAATTTTTTGACTAAAGAGAACTGCAGCCTCCTATTAGCGTTCGGGGGTACACAAGTGTAATTTTACTTAGTCGTTTCAATGTTGAAGAATCGTCAACCAATTGTACCAAACGGACTAAATAAACGTCGAACATCGCACACAAGTGAGTCGGCTCAAGTTGCCATACTTCACAATAGTACACAAAGAACAGGTGGATAGAAAAAAGACTGATGTCAAAGTGGACAAAGTTGTGTGCGAGCAAAAATAATCTAAAGGTAAAGGTTAGTGTGAATATTCAAGCTTCAGAAGATTTCAAGGAACGAATACATCTGCACCTTTGTGACCGATTTTCAAAAAATGTCACCAAGTGTCCTCAACCACTGATTCCCTTAATATCTTAGTCCCCAACCAGGCAGTCTACATCTTCCCATACGACTCAGACCAACAGCAAGAGACTTCATGGACCGGTACCAGATCTTCGTTTGGCCACCCTCAACCCTCATTAAAATCCAGCTAGGGTCCCAGAACTTTACGTTTTGTTCATTGAAACAGCTGATTAGTGGCAATATTTTTTGAATGTCAAATAATTTCAATGTGTTCATAAGCGTTTTACATGCTGATGCTATGAAAGCTCATTAGAAATATATTACCTTTTAAGCTTACAATAAAAATCAACTGCTACCAACAAAACGAATTTAATATTAAAATCGACTATTGATGAACAAAACAACTAAATACTACTGATATTTTTCAGCCACACTTCGAGTTAAAACAAGAAAAATTACTCAGGATACATATTGAAGCTGATTGGATTTGACGAAAACTTTTCGCATGTCATAACAGTGAAAACTTACTCAACGCTTCGATAAAGTAATCTGATAAATAGCATCAGGTAAATTCCTATCAATAATTTATCAGATATACTAACATCGATTTAACCTCGCCTAGTTAATTAGATCACTAGTTAATAGCCGTCCTAAGCACGGATAAAGAGAGAATACTAGGCATAGAGCTAGTAACCCTACCACGGAAAACCAATCCAATCTCTAAACAAACATCAAAGCACAAACAAAAATATAAAAATAAAACAAAACTTATTCCTCACTGGAATCAAGGAGACGAAATGACACCGGTTGGTGAAAGCCTTCGAGAAGCCAGTTGGCCAATGTATCTTCTCTACTCTCGATGAAACCAAAAGTAAGATTGGGGACATGCAACGTTCGCACCATATATGAACCTAGCAAGGCTGCCCAGATTACAAAACAGATGAGAAGGTATAGCATAGAAGTGCTAGGAATCTGCAAAACCAGATGCAATGCAAGTGGACTCTCCAAACTGTCAACTACAGAGTCAATAATCTACTCTGATATCGTCACACAGACAACAACCACGAGCACAGCACACTGAGTTTTCGAGTGGCTATCATGATGTCCCAAACAGCATCAAAGGCTCTCTCTCACGCAATGCGAACCAATCTCCTACAACATCACGATCATCACAGCAAAATTCAACTCAAAAGGAAGGAAAGCCAAAATCATACAGTGCTACACTACATACCTACAAATAATAAGGATCAAGAGAAGGAGGAATTCTACAGACAACTGCAATCAGTACTGGACAAGACCCCACACCAGATGGTGACATCAAAATCAATTCTAACGGGTGGCATGAATCCCGAACTCGGGGCAGACAACACAGGAAGAGAACTCATCATGCATCGGGAGGCGCTCGGTGAAATAATGAATGAGAATGGAGAACTGTCTCCAGACTTCTGCGCATTTTATGATTTGGTGATTGGAGGTAGTGTGTACAAACACAAGGATATTCACAAAACGACATGCATGTCACCAGACACCGAGACACGCTGAAAATCAGATCTGCGTTCGATTTCTGGCGTAGTTGCGAGTTCGCACTTCTTAGAAGTCCCATACTAGAGCGAAATACCTGTCCACTGGTGCTAGTTTTTCAAAGGTTCTCCAACTGATGTCAATCCGTGACAAATACTACCTTGATATATCATATAATTGTATTTAAGCGTTATAGATAAGCCAGAGAACAAGGAAAATTTTCATAACATGGAGTTATAATAATAACCAGTACTTTAGAACTTTGTAGATGTATGGAAACTGTGTACAGTTTGTCATGTGCAGTTTTCTAGAATACATTTAATTTAGAAAAGGTCAGAAACTTCACTGAAATTTAACACCAAAAACGAATAACGTGTGCTGTTCTCCACTCAGTAGGTCCAGTAAATGTTTGTGCACTAGAAATACTATCAGGCGATTTGAATACAATGAAATGATAGTGTCCGGATTCCAATTCACCAATGATTTTAAGTGTTAAAATAACCTACAGAACTACTGGATGCCTTCAGATTTACACTGTTCAGTCACTACAATCATGTGAAGAGCTAACGTCACTATCCTGTAACCTAGAAAGAGGTATTGAACATGAGACAAAACACCTAAGGTTCTAATGACTTAATGACTGAGTCACATTTCCAATAACTAGTCTTAATACTGACTAGAGTTTTAGTAGAAGTAAGTTGACTTAGATTGTATAAGAAAACATTAAAATCTTACATTTTATCAGAATTAACAACGATCATCCAAGAACCCAGTGCAATGCCCATCATAACAAGTCCATATAGTAAAATCCAAATAAGAACATTATAGGCAACCGTGTTCTTAGTGTACGGAAGAACGGAGAGCATAATCTCGTCTGCAATAGGATCAGAAGATTTATTCTACAAAAGACGAACAAAATGCAGTAAATGCAATAATTAAATATGTTTACCACATCCTTATGAATAAAAACACTACTAGCACTAACCAACATAGGTATGCATATTTATCACACAAAAACTAAATACACTAGGTAATGAACCGCACCTGTTGTGTGAATGATAATTATACTATCAATTTTCTACAATCTCGATGAGTAGAGTGAGATTCAAACTGACTTCCCATTGACTAAGTAACTAATGAAGATTGTCAAAAGGAAGCAAGTAAACGAAAAAAATCAAGATGCACTTAGGAACCACATGCAGTAGGTGACGAGCCACACCTATTGTATGAGTGTTAATGATTCTACCTTGTCTCCTAAACCTCGGTATGTGGAGCGGGATTCGAACCTGAGACCCATTGATCGAAAGTCATCTCCTAAAACCAATCTGCTATATCTGCAGAACCAGAACCAGGCGAACACATTAATAAGGTCAAAAATTGGGTTGGTTACAAGATTACACCATCGGTAGTCATTTCTGAACGATCCAGTGCTTAAGGAATATTAAAAAAAACCATTGAACGGAATATTATGCTGACATTGTCAGCTTATCACTGTAAACACTTGCAGCAGCTCCTAAATCCTTTTCAGAATAAAAATTTGGATGGAGGCAGTCGGCAGAAAGCCTTAGACCTAGGTTTCATGCTTGTTGACACTCATCAGCAAGGCGTAACTGCAGCCTCAGCAGAAATGATGTCCCACATAAGATTCAAACCCGCGTCACCCAATGTTGTAGTCAACAATGTCACCACTGAGCTATTCGGGTCGTGACTGACTCCCTGTAAGACTAGATTAGATACATTGGTTGGTCACTGGAGGGTAACCAACTTCATGTTGTTTAGTCCTTTGTGCTGACTGAATTCTATCGATGGTTTTGCAAACAAGAAACTTAGGTCCAGGGCCTCCTGCCGAATGCATCCATCCAAGTAACATCTATCAAAGTGCATCGGGATACTGAGCTACCTAGTCTGGTGGCCAAACTGCAAAATGATCGACAGAATTCGGTCAGCACATAGAACTAGACAACATGAAGTTGGTTACTCCTCAGTGACCAATCAATGTCTCGTTTTCAGAACACTTTTTAATTGGTAGGTACATGTTTGCGAAAAATATGGATAGAGGATAATTCACAGATAAACAGTCTCAAATATGATACAAACACTATTTCGTAAAGTACACAGATCACGATGAATGAATAAACACAGAAATCCAGTAGAGTGCCAAGGTGAAATTAATATATTCTCATTGTGCATAAAAACTGGTAACAGTGGTTAACTATGCAAAAAGAATGTGATAGCGCACACACATCATTATGCGTATAGACAGAGAGACAGAAAAATATAATCGAAGTAGAACCTAAGACAGAAATGCATCGCTTCAAGTTTCCATACTTCACAACAAAACGCTACGAACAAGTCGATAGAAAAACTCATATCAAAGAAGACAAAAGTGGGAGGAGAAACAGTTTGAAGGTAAAGGTGTTAGTGAAAACATTCGAGCTTTAGACGGCGTCAAAGAGTGAACGCAAGTGCACCACTGTGACCCGTTTTCAGCCAACTCACAAAGAGTATCCAAGTGTTGGTTTCGATAATCTCGAGGAACCCAACTAGATAGTCTTTACCTCTCTATAGGGCTCACACCATCAGTCAGAGACTTCATGCACCAGCGCCAGGTCTTGGTCTGAAACTCTGAGCCTTCTTTCAACCTAATTAAACTTTTAGCATTGCGCGTTGAGGTAGGCGATGGCTGGGGATGCGCAATTCATCTCCAAGCTAGCCCGGTCACTGAAGTTTCAAAAGGCATCGACTGACTTGCCCTCCTTGCCCAGTATGCTTTTCCTGACCTCAAAATTTCTCACACAGTGATTCCATTATACATGAACAATACTACGAAGAAACCTATGACAAAAAACCTGTAATTTATTCATATCTTCTACTTTTAACGATTATGTCTCACAGCTGTATAACAGAACGTAGCGGGTTACAACGTAGTACACTCATACTTTAGCCCGTTCGGGCTGATGCAACTCTTCAAGCAAGCGAAGTGGTCGACGCATTATGCCACTTCAACCTCTATCCTTATACCGAGAGAAGTTGCAGACCAGTCCTGAAGCATCATCTTACACTTAACAGGTGCAAGAGAAACGCATAACAAACATACTCAGATTTCTGCTCAACGCATTTAGAAGACCCTACATTCTATCAGCATTTTTCTCCGGCAGGACAATATCATCTGATTACTCCGAATCGACCAGATGACCTCCAGGGAGCAGGCCAATTCCTATGAATTTAGACGTACCTAAGGTTATATCCATTAATACATCTATGACAAAATTAAACAAAAACGTTGACAGTGGGCATTCCTGGTGGACACTACTAGTTATCGCTGATCAATAGTACAACTATCCATAAGTCCTTACACACCTGGATGCGTTCGAGCAGAGAGCTTTGATTAGCATTATATAATTGCTGGATACTTGTCTTCACAGTTAGACATTGCCACAACACCTCACGGTTGACTGAGTCAAATGGAGTCACCAGGTCAAGATATATAGCAAGTTCCCGCCCCCGGTAAGTATGCCTGTGTTCCAGGACCTATGGAAGGGTGAAAATCTGAACGATTCACCCTCCTCCAGGTCAGAAACAAACCTGGTTTCCTCAAGTTTGCTGTTTTCGAGCTCGAGCTGGGCGTCGCATAACTATGGACCCAAGGATCTCGGACATAATGTTAGTCACACTAATTCCCCTATGGCTGTCACAAGACCTTTCTCCTTTATTGATCAGTGAAGTAGACCAATGTGACCGGACCAGCTCTGATTCCCACACACTGTCTAGTACCTCCGTTACTCCAATGAGTCATTTCCTGGCTCCATCCTTAAAAGCGTTGGGTGGTAAACCGTCAGATCCGGTTTATTCGCAACGTTTCAGGTCCGATACAGCTTCCTCAACTTCGGAGAGAGTTGGGGGGTGGGTGTTGGATAACTGAAGCGTTGGTGAGGGTTAGTTCAACTGTGCTTTAGAGTGACTCGTCCAAAGTCCTAGTCATCTGTCCTGGGAAGCTGTCAGCATCCCGTCGTGTTCTTCTTGCCCCTACCCTCAAAAAGCCGAAATAGTTGCCGGATTTTAACTGACGCTTATGCTTTTTCCATCCTTCTTGCTTTCACTACCCTCCACTGCTCGCGATCATTGAGAAGACTTGGCCAATCTACGTTTTAGTTACTTTCGCTCTTTACTATGTTCAGAGCTAGCCGGGATGATTCTTGTCACCTCAATGCACGCATGAGTTCAGTACTGCTTGACATATACAGACAGTTAATACTAGTGGGACACTTACGGACAAACAAGCATACCATTACAAAATCTCTCACAAAAACGCTGTCATATCTCTGCCTAGTAGTACTTGTCCAAGGCACATGATTCTGCCGATTCACCTAGGTCACTGACCTTGCACGTGATTAGTCTTGCATATACTCACCACGTCTCGTATGCCCAACCCACCCATATGAGTCATGGAATTTAGCCCTCCCCCCCCCCAACGTCGTACAACAGAACACAAAGTCTTATGCTTATTGTTAGTATATTTTTGACAATGTGGGTTTTCTGTTTATACAGAGCTGAAAGTTCTGTCAACAACCCATCATAATTTATAGGAATAAAAAAACCAGTCTCATGCACAAAATAGGAGGTAATAGACAATAATTGGTTCGTAATGGGTGATGAATTGACAGTGAAATGAAAATTTGGACCAGCGACCACCGGGTTTCTGGCTCGAAGCTCAGTTGGTAAAGCATCGGGTCAGAAACTCGGTGGCCGCTAGTTCGAATTCGTAGGCGGTTCAAGTTTTTATTTAACCTTCGGACATTACCCAGTAAAAATACTGATCTACTAAACTACGCTATATCAGGTAGTCAAGTGATAAATTAATTGCCCTCAATATGCGATCATTTCAAAACTAAAAGTCATACAGAAATGGATGAGGGGTCAATCGTAAGCTACTGAGCAAAGCTACACAATAATATTACCGAATAAGTCATAAGTAAAATACTTTTTACAATAAATAAAATAAAACGACTGGTAATATTTATCTACAGATTTACGTTTTCCATTACTCAGTCGATAAACCACAGGCACCCAGTCAAGCAGCAACGAAGCCCAACAGCAAAAAATAAAAGGAATGTTAACATGAAAGTAATAAAGCAAACCAAAAAGGTATGAAATGACCCAGAACAAATAAACTGCATTGTAACAGGAACCAATCTCCTACAACATCACGATCATCACAGCAAAATTCAACTCAAAAGGAAGGAAAGCCAAAATCATACAGTGCTACACTACATACCTACAAATAATAAGGATCAAGAGAAGGAGGAATTCTACAGACAACTGCAATCAGTACTGGACAAGACCCCACACCAGATGGTGACATCAAAATCAATTCTAACGGGTGGCATGAATCCCGAACTTGGGGTAGACAACACAGGAAGAGAACTCATCATGCATCGGGAGGCGCTCGAAGAAATGATGAATGAGAATGGAGAACTGTTTCCAAACTGTGAGGAGCGAGAAGAGAGGCAGACGTTGTTTGACCGATGCAATGAAAAGAGCCTAGAAGATTTGGATTTCGCCGCCGATGATGATGATTTATTTCTAATGTTTTGTCGCACAAACTCGAAGATCTACAGGCTAAAACTAACAAGTTGGCAGAAGAGGCGAGGCAGAGTAGCGAAGACAGGACTTCAAGTGAATGTAGAGAAGACGGAGGTGATGAAGATAACCAACCAACAACAAGCATCAATTACCATTAACGGTAGAATCCTAAATGAGGTAGTCCCTTTCACCTACCTTCCTAGGCAGCAACGTTTCAACTACAGGTGGCACAGGTACAGACGAGGATGTCAAAACCAGGATCGTTAAAGCAAGACAGACTTTCACTAATCTGAAATCAGTGTGGAGATCTACTGCACTCAGCACAAAGAACAAGATACGGATTTCCAGTGAAGTCAGTGCTGTTATATGGTTCAGAAACTTGGCTCGTTACGAAAAGCATTTCCAACAAACTACAGACATTCATCAACGGCTGCCACCTACGCTCACTCGATACTGAAGATCAGATGGCCAGAATAATAAGAATAAGCGACAAGGAACTCTGGCCCGCCAACGAACCAACCAACAACCCATCGTCCAACAAATATGCAGAAGAAAGTGAAGATGGATTGGGCATACACTGAGAAGACCGACTGGGGACATCACATGCCAGGCCAGACAGTTGAGTGGGACCCAATGGGGAAACGACGATTTGGGCGTCCGAGGCAAGGGTGACATAAGGGAGATCATGTGAGGAAGAAATGAAAGCTTGTGGGCAGTCGTGATGCCAAGTTCGGAAGACTGCAGAGAACAGAATGGAATGGAGGCGCGCTACTGAAGCCCTGTGTTCCACTAGCAACCCAAGAGAATAATAATAATAATAATAATAATAATAATAATAATAATAATAATAATAATATGGTTAACAGTGAGTACCTCTGAGTCACTGTAAATTTTGAGCCATATGGTCCACAGTCTCAGTCAGTTGGTTCTCAATATCGCCAGAATCTTTGCCAGGTAGCCTACACTTGTCTACGTAACTTAGATTGATAGTCATTATCATCGTATATTGGTTTAACATTTTAATGTGATCCGTTTCATCTTTCTTCTAACCTAACCGCACGTTTAGAACTTTCATCTAGCGTGAAAAGTGTAAACTTGTTTTAAAACCACATGAAGTCAATGAAAAGCACTCGTGATAGTACAAACAAATTAGCACTGAAATGTATTGTAAAATTAGTGTACTTTTAAGTAAAATGAGTTAATACTTACGAGGATAATACCATTGAATTGGTCAGCATCCAAAAATATTATTGATCTATTCAGTACACTAGGTGTATGTGAAGCGACTATTTTGTTTAGTTTTGGATTTAATTCGCCATCATAAACGATTACTAACAGTTTTGGATCCCACTGTATTATCTCAAAATCCTGAAAATTACTCCACAGGACAGACAGTGAAATTGGTTGAGTGAATAGTGATGGTGACATATCGGAGTCAGCGGAAGAGATTAAATTGACAAGTCTCAGTTTTGTCTGAAATAATATAAAGTTCAAAATGGTTTTAGTAACTAAACTAAACGATATATAGGGAAATTTATTCTAAAACACTTACAAGAACGAGAATCGGACTTCATCCTATAGATATTAATCACTATGAAGTCTGACAGCCGATATAGTGGCTTTCTCCAGTTGATGAATGAATCAACATAACTCAGTAAACATGAACAGCTTCATGGACCATGGAACGAACCACATCTGCTGTGTGAAGGCAGACGAAAGCCGTACGCCTAGATGTTATGAGGTGGGGTGGCTCTCGAACTCACGACCCACTGGTTACGATTCGACTGCCTAGACCAATATGCGATAAGTACCCGTTAATAACGTTTTCTAGATATTGAAGAGAGGTTGATGATACTCAACATGCACTGACATCAACCTCGTCTACTTAACTAAATCACTAGTTAATAGCCGTCCTAAGCACGGATAAAGAGAGAATACTAGGCATAGAGCTAGTAACCCTACCACGGAAAACCAATCCAATCTCTAAACAAACATCAAAGCACAAACAAAAATATAAAAATAAAACAAAACTTATTCCTCACTGGAATCAAGGAGACGAAATGACACCGGTTGGTGAAAGCCTTCGAGAAGCCAGTTGGCCAATGTATCTTCTCTACTCTCGATGAAACCAAAAGTAAGATTGGGGACATGCAACGTTCGCACCATATATGAACCTAGCAAGGCTGCCCAGATTACAAAACAGATGAGAAGGTATAGCATAGAAGTGCTAGGAATCTGCAAAACCAGATGCAATGCAAGTGGACTCTCCAAACTGTCAACTACAGAGTCAATAATCTACTCTGATATCGTCACACAGACAACAACCACGAGCACAGCACACTGAGTTTTCGAGTGGCTATCATGATGTCCCAAACAGCATCAAAGGCTCTCTCTCACGCAATGCGAACCAATCTCCTACAACATCACGATCATCACAGCAAAATTCAACTCAAAAGGAAGGAAAGCCAAAATCATACAGTGCTACACTACATACCTACAAATAATAAGGATCAAGAGAAGGAGGAATTCTACAGACAACTGCAATCAGTACTGGACAAGACCCCACACCAGATGGTGACATCAAAATCAATTCTAACGGGTGGCATGAATCCCGAACTCGGGGCAGACAACACAGGAAGAGAACTCATCATGCATCGGGAGGCGCTCGGTGAAATAATGAATGAGAATGGAGAACTGTCTCCAGGCTTCTGCGCATTTTATGATTTGGTGATTGGAGGTAGTGTGTACAAACACAAGGATATTCACAAAACGACATGCATCTCACCAGACAACGGAACACACTAAAAATCAGATCGACTTCATCTCAATCTCAAAAAGTGGAGACACAGCTTACTGGACGCAAGACCAAGAAGGGGAGCAGATGTAGGTTCATACCACTCACTATCTAGTGCAAGAAGCCTACCTTTAAAATCAAGTTGAAAGCCTTCAAAGAAGCTGGTGATGACAGACCACAGTTGAAGTTCAACACCCAGAACAGAAACTGCACTGAAGGACGAAACTACAAAAGACATCGTCATGTCAGTCAGTCAGCTATTAGGAAAAAGTGGGAGACATTAAGCAGCATCCCTGAAGAAAGCTACCTAGGTGGAAGAACACTGGAACTCTTTCAAAGAGATGTGGAAGGAAACCTGCATAACCGTGTTAGGAAGGAAGAAGAAGCAAGACAAGGAATGGATCTCCACGGATTTCCACATGGAAGCAGAACATGAACCAGTGCTGTGCTGTGCTGTGAAGTGCAGTGCAGTGCAGGGATGAACAACGAAAAGGGGAACTGAATACAACATAGAAAACACTGGACAAAGAAGTGAAGAACATGGCATGGAAAGAAAAAAGACACTTCTACGACACATTGGCAAGTGAGGCAGAACAGGCTGCTGGTGGTGGGAGAGACAGAGACCTGAAAACATTATATCAAATAACCAGGTTACTATCTGGCACGAGATCAATACAGATGAAACCAATGAAAGGTTTTGTGAACGAAACCTAGTTACCAACGAGGAGAAACAAGGGAAACGATGGCTGACCACTTCAGAAAAACTCCTGAATCGACCACCACCAAGACCCACAGTTCGTCCAGAAATACCACCAGTAGCCCAGCCACAGTATTACCAGTGAACACAAGCCCTCCGACAAAAGTCGAAATTCTGAACGCCATGAAGCTGCTGAAATGCGGGAAAGCAGCAGGATCAGATGGAATTCCCCAGAAGCACTGAAAACAGACGCAAAGACAACAGCGGACATGCTCACACCACTATTGGAGAAGGTTTGGGAGGAAGGAAAGGTACCTGCCCATTGATTGGAAGAAGGGCTACCTTATCAAACTTCCAAAGAAGGGTGACCTAAGTATTTGCAAGAACTGAAGCGGAATAATGCTGCTGTCCACACCAAGCAAAATATTAAGCCGTATCATCCTGGAGACCGATAGCTGTTACCTTGACGTGTTCAGAACACTCAGAACTAGAAGAGAGAGTACAATAGCATGATATCATTGTATGCATCTACACATTGTCTACTGTCACTACAGATTTGATAAGTGAGGAAAATAATTAAAAGCTAAACCTAATCCTATAGATGGTGGAGAATATACACAGTATAAGACCGCTAGTTTAAAAAAAATAACGATCTCGCTTCAGTGATGATACCTACCACCTTGACGTGGTGGTCGGGCCTCCATATCACAATGACCTAACGAGCTATACTGGTGGAACACTTGTTCCATCAACGTCCTACCATACCAGAAAGGTATGTTGGATAGTGGTTACAAGCAAAGTAGTTACCGTTGTGGTGTAAATTACTACACTATGATGGAGGTCTGAGGGCGAAGTCGTACTGCTGTCGGATGGTTGGGTTGTGACAGCAGTAAGGTGTCTGTCCCCCGTGGATGACCAGCAGTGCCATACTAATGCTGCCTTCTCAGTGGAAGGCAGGAATAGAAAAGGTCAGGTCCCAAAACTAACACACTCCACCATGCCTCACGGTCTGCCGAGGCGGCGGTGTTGGTTCATTTTTCATCTCTTTTCGATCATCCGACCCCAAAACAACCATACACAAAAGGGTGCGTGTGAAAGGCTTCAAGCAGATGTCCCATGGGCTCTGGGGTCACACAGATCTCCTTCAGGTACCTTAAGGAGAAACAGCATCCCACGGTGTGGGCACCCGGGAAATATCAGCACTCAAGTTTCCACAGACTGCTATCCACCTTCCCCATCATTACCTTCTAATCTTCCTTCACATCTCTCAATTAACGATGCTACATCATCTTCAAATTCTCCTAGCTCTGCAGCCTTTGACAACGATCTGAGTTCACAGAACAGCATCTTTGGTCTGCTTAAACCACGCTCCAAATTACACATGAGACCCTTGAATGTCCACACCCTCCGTCAAGTTGGTCAACAGCCATCATTGGTCAAGACTCTAATAACACGGGCCATGGATGTGTGCTGTTTGTGAGACACGCATATAGGACCCAAGTCCGGTTATTCACCTAACCTCTCTCAGTCAGTCTGATTATTCTGCAAAATTCATCCTCCAAGTTTCTGGAGATTCGATGGTTAGCTGTCATGATCTCGTAGGTGTAGGCATAGCATTAAGCACCAGGGCAAAAAACTCACTACTGGACTGCTACCCAGTTGATAGTCGCTTCTGGGCTACCCGGCTGAACGGTACAGTGAGAACTGAGAGCAATAGGGAGACTCACCGTTGTCTCTTTCTAATCTTTACTTACGCACCCACTGACTGTAGTCAGGATGAAGTGAAGGACGAGTTCTACAGTAAACAGTCTAGCATCTTCTCGAAGGCCAAACGATCGGACGTGATGGTTGTTACAAGTGATTTCAATGCACAGGTAGGTAGACTGAGTGAGTCAGAAAGGCACTTAGGTGGCACTTTCGGAATCCCGGCTAAACGTACAGGTGACGATGGTCCCCTACTATAACTACGCTCAAATAACCGCCTATTTTTAGCTAGCACATATTTCAGACATAAAGAAAGACACTGTCGGACATGACGTCCACCAAGTTCGACTCAGCAATGGACACAGATAGACCACATTGCTATTAGTCATCGCTGGAGAGGATCGGCCGAGGACTGCCGCTCCTTCTGGAGTGCATGCTTGGATAGCGACCACGCGTTGGTCCGAGTGCGTATATGCCTGCGACTCAATGGACGTAAAAAAAATTGGCAACAAGACGATTGCGAGTGCTGCTGGACAACGAAAACACCAAAGCCGTGTTCAGTGAGAAGTTGCCTAGGTAGTTATCGGAACAGAAGACTACCACTCATCCAGAAGAAGCTTGGTGCCATCTCCAGTCTGCTGTAAAAGCAGCGCTGAAAACTGTAACCGACCCCGAAATAGTGGCTAAAACGAGCCAGTGGATATCAGCAGCTTCTTCCGAACTAATGAATGCACGTGAACCCATCCCAACAGGCTCTGAGTACGATGAAGAACTAGCACAACATTAAAGTAGACTGAGAAAAAGTCTACTCAATGACCACGGACAGTGGTGAGCAGGCAAGGCTAAAGAGATAGGAAAGTCAGTGGCGATTGGTAGCAGTTATTTATTTAGATTATTTAGATTTATTAAGGAAACTAGGGTGGAAAGGTCAGCTGCGATTAGTGAGACCATAGCGGACAAGGACGGATCTGCAATCCACTCGCAGAGGAGACGACTGGAACGATGGATAGGACACTTCGAGGAATAGTTTAACTGGCCTCCAGGCACCATTGCGTTGCCCGCTATCCAGTCGGATCCTGAATGGGACATTGAGATAGGCCCGCCAACACTAGCAGAAGTCGAGAAAGAGGTAGGTAATCTGAAACGAGAAAGGGCAGCAAGACCAGACGAACTAACTCCTGAGGTATAACAAGGATGGTGGCAGAGTGCTTTTAGTCAGGTCAACGGAAGTACCAACCAGTATATGGGATTCAAATAAGATCCCCTCTGACTGGTCTA